ATACGAAATTTACTCGAAAAAGTGGACATATATTTTGATCTCGAAGAAAATGTATTCGTTTTCTTAATTTTTTTTTCTGATTATCATATGATGTTATTTGATTTGGTGTTGTTGTTGATGATGATGTTAAACCATCTGTATCAATAAATGACATTTGAAATAAACCAATTGATAGAAGAGCAAGACCAATATACATCCAAAGATGTTCAATGATAACATCATGATATTGTATTGAATGTGACATAGCTAATAAATCAGCACCATTTATAAAAGTTATTATTAAAACAATTCCACTTTTTGCTACAGTCATATGTTCACGTGTTATTAATAAACGACATATTGATAAAACAATAAGCATTGTTTCTTGTATTGCATCAAGCCAACGTTGTTCATCCATATAGTACCATGCTTTATCATGACATTCGATATGTCCAATTGAAAGTGTAACTGGATTAGTATTTAATAATAAACGTGATGTTGATAATAATGAACTATCTGATGATGTACTATTAGAAATAAAATTTTGTTGTCGTGCTTGAATTGATGATGTAGTAGTTGCTCGAGCATTAAGTTTCTTTTCAGCAAGATGATATAATTTTCTATTTGCTGTATCAATATGAATTATCCATAATGATGGTATTGTACATGTCAGATAGAATATGATACAAATAGCAACTCTAACCAAAAAAAAAATACAAAAAGAAAATTCGTTTGTTTATTCGTTTGTTTTGATATATACAAACATACGTTTTAAATTCACGTCCATTTCGGAGCCAAATAACAATGCCTGTTTCGACAAGTAAAAAACCAAGACCAACAAGAAGAATCCAACAATATGGATTTTCAATTGTATCAATAACACGCCAAGTACAAATAAGACCATGAGCTATAAGAAACACTCGTATAAGGAGTGACTTGACGATTGTCAAACCGTGCATTCATTCGGCCATCTGTCTTGTTTCTTATATCTGTCACAATATATCTTTAACTTTCGTTTGTAATAACAAAAGCAAAAACCAAACAAAAAAAAAAGAAGAAAGCGAAAGATAAAATAAGAACGATGAGCTTGTTTGGTCAACAAATAATTAATGACGACTAAGCCCTACTTTCTTTTATGTTTCGTTGTAGGTTTGAGCAATCCCGTTGATGCTATGTATTATGTTCAACCGTGGATGCTTGCCGTAATCATTCCGCTTGCAGGCATCAGAGAAGGTACGTATTTGTTTGTTCTTTTTTACTTATTTTTTTCTTTGGTTTTTCTTTGTCTTAGGTCAACAATTATTACATGAATTATATCTACTTAAAAAAAAATCATATGCTCATATTAATTATCATATAGGAATGTTTGGATCTAGTGCTTTATTAGCATTTGCTCTTGAATTTAGTGAATTTTTATTAGTCTCAAGTACATCTTCACTTACACTAAGTGTATCGGGTATTTTTAAGGTAAACAGCTATTTTCATTTGATTGAGTTTCAAAGTTTAAATGAATATGTAGAACTGTTTTTTTTTTATTGAAATGAATTAATTTTGTTTTTTGTTCAATAGAAAAGCATTGGGATGCTGTTTTGAGTTATAAGATTTTTGATCATGGTAGTGTATAATTAATATCAAAAACAAAGAAATGTGACTCTCTTTGTTCGTTACTACGAGACAATTTTTGTAATTGCTGAGAAATTTCGTAATGAAAAAAAGAAACGTTAATATTAATGTAGAAAGATTGAAGTTATAATGAAGATGTTCTTGCATAATGATTCTCAATATTATTAATCAGTTTTTTTCTTGACTTCGAAACTATAAAGCATGTCATCAAATACAACATTTGTTCCTGCCGATAGCGAAGCACGAAGTGAAACGACTTTCTCTAATTTACATGCGATTTTTTTTCCTATATCAAATAGATAGAATTGTTGTCTGTTCATATACTAATGAATTTGTCTTGAGCTAATTTTTATATGTTACATATATGTTAAGTTCCTCTAGATATCCTGAAAAAATGAGCAGGCGAGACCTTTGTTCAGATGAGTTATGAAATAATCCTTATAAAGAATTAAAGTCAAATGAAAGGTGGATATATCCCGTTGAGCCTAAATTGTCTCATACTATACAAAAAATTCTCTGAAATTGCCTTTTTTTTTTAAAGGAAGTTGTTATGCTCTATTTGGCTGTTGAATATAATAATAATCAATTAAATACACTAAATATTGTTGGTCTTGTTATATGTCTTACTGGCATAATATTTCATTGTATTCTTAAATTCCATGCATTACAAAGTATAATTACAAAATATGAAATATAAACCATGATTTATTTCTTTTTTCTTTTTATAGAAGAAAAACCTGTTAATACTGATTTAGTTGTTACTGAGCGATTACTTCTACGCAGAATGGAATCAGCTGATGAATGGTCAGTAGATGGTGATTCAAATACTCGACGTACAAGTCTTGATGATTGATCCTTCATGACAAAAAAAAAAAAAAAAAGAAAAAAAAATTATTATTATTATTTTTATTTATTGTTATTCTAAAGTGTTTTTTCGTTTTTACAATAACGGTGACACTGGAAAAAAGTATGAAGTTTGGTTATGTAAATGTAAACAGATGGAAACAAAAAACAAGCTTATTTGTTTTAGAATTTAATAACATATTCTGTATAATCAGATAGTTCAAATATTCTCATTGAGATCTATGATATTTTTTGATATTCTATTTGATATTGCGTTAGATTTAAAATTTAGCTTAGCTTTTTTAAAATCAACATCATTGTTCACCAGGTTACTTCATAAGTGATAGATCGAACATATCGTATGCCGTATATAATAATGAAAAAACATTATTAGCAACTATATGTGTATCAACATGATTAATCAAAAGAAACGTTAATATATCTATTTAAAAACTACCAGGGAGAATCGTCAGTCTGACTCGATCTCTCAGTTCAATCATTTATTAGAAGAATATGATTTATCTAGTCAATGATGATACTCGTACGAAAACTGATAATCTATCACTTAATACAAAAGTTTTTGAGAAGATATTCGATAGTTCTAGATTTTCACAATATATACAATTCAAAAAGTGGCAGATCATCAATATTTTACAAGTACTACAATTGATTTTAAAAAAAAATCATATTTTTCTCACATAATGATTGAAACTGTATGTAAAAGAAAAATGAAATTGAGACATACTGCTAGAACCTAGAGCAAATATAAGTATCGATCGTAAATTTTCAATATTTTTATCTTCATTAACTTTTAAGATTCTGTGAATCAGATATCTTTGATATTGCAATTAGAGTAGTGGAATGACAGTAATGATTATAAGTTTAATGTGAACAAAAAAATAATTGATATCTATTAATATTGGAGTATAGAAGTAAACGTATGTGAACTATTAATTTCTTTTTTGTTGAAAAAAAATCAACAAGAAAACTTTCTCTTCTCACCTCACATGGCACATTCAATTGGTTTGATATCAGCTACTTTCAAAAGTAATGAAAAACAATCTTCTGAAATGTACTGAATAATACGAAATCAAATTCTTCTGAATTCATAATACTTAGACAAGATTTTTCTTTAAATTATTGTTAGTTTTTGTTGGCAAGTTATTATTGAAGAAGATATTTTTTTTATTTGAAATCAAAATAAAACATGTAAATTGAAGGATAACTGACATTCGATATCTACTTTGTCGGAGTGAAAGTAAAAATGAAAAGCTGTTCTATCATGTATGATATTCTGCCTTGTCTCATAGGTCAGGGACACGAGTGATTTCTGCTCTATTCTGCAATACAGGACAAGATATATGCTAGAAAAAATTTGTTCTATGGTTACTTCTAATTTTACTAGATTTAATTGATTCTATAACTTTAATATGTCGGCAATGACATAAACACCTGCATATTGAAATAGTATAGCTGATTCTAATTTTTGTTCTTCTGCTTCTTTTTATGAAAAGAAAAAGAAAAAAAGGAGAAGGACAAAATGAAAAGAAAATGACAATGATCAAATACAATGTTCTGCTTCAATAGTTTCCAATGTTTAATGTTCATGACTAATCAAAGACAAAAAAAAAGAAATCAAGTCAATCTTAATCGAATTTTTCTTTTTTTTTCATAATTATCATCGGTTTAAGATTTACGAAGTATTTCAAAAATTTTGATCATATTTTGAACGTATATAACATTTCGATATTCATTAAGCAAACGTAAAATTTTGTAAATTTTTATTCTTAAAGATAAAGTTTAGAAATACTCTTTAAAGACTTTTACTTTTAGCTGCAATATAAAAATATATCATCTTTCAATATGTTTTGAAAAGATTGACTCGTTGACGAAAGCAGATTCTTTCTGTTATAACAAAAATTTTCATAATCAGTGTCATGAAAGTACCGAACGAACATTTCTTGATCGAAATTGTTATTATACTTGACAGTATTGATTCCTTTTAAAGGAACTTTATCAAAACGAGTGCAAATAAAACAGTAGTCAAACATGAAAGCACCTACTAACGAGATAAATAGAAGTAAATATAGAAAAAAAAAACAGTGACATATTGATAGACTTTAAAAAATACTTTTGAATTTCGTCTTGGAGAATAAAAATTTTAAAAATTTTCTTTATTATCCAGAAAAGATATTCCTATCACATTAGGAAATGTTGTTAATTAATTGATTCTATCAAAAATATCTATGAAGATCAATAGAATAATTATCTCGTTTATGCTAGAAGTATTCATCAATCCTATAATATTTTTAATATAATTAACCATATATATATATTTATTTGAAAGTGGGTGTTTTTTTTCTGTTATTTCTCATTAACTTGTATGTGAAGAAAAAGAAGATAATACTTGAGATTAATTTTAATTCTCGTTGTATTAGTAACAATTATTTCAGATTAAAAAAATAATGAATGTTATGAATTAAAAAAAAAGAAACAATGGAATTTTCGTTATATTTTTTATTTATTTTAAAATTTCTCATATTAAACATGAATCATTAATTCAATAATCGTATAGCATAAAAATAAATACAAGATTGTCCTGTAACAGCCATTTTTGCTGTTAATGTTGATATTGTTAATATCATTGATGGAATTTCATAATGAATATATTTCATAGCTATAAACATTCGTAATATTCCACATATTGTATATGGTGTCCAAGCTAATAAATAATGTAAAACAATAACTAATGTTGCTTGAGCAAATCGTCGATCAATTCGAAGACGTTTAAGACGATTACTTTCAATAACAGTAAATTTATCAATCAAATGATGACGCGTATCAATAGATATTTTTTCTTTTGATTTTGGTATTAATGGATATCGTTTATAGATAAGTTGACGTATTGTTATTAATATATGAATATTTGTATATAATAAACAAAATAATGGTAAAAAATAAATAAATATAAATGCAAAAAATAAATATAGACGACTATAAATATCAGATTTTATCCAATTAAGACTACAATCAAAACCTTTACCTTCATGCATATAACCTGGTCTTATATTTATTAATGGTGGTAATGACCAAAATAATGATATTAACCAACATATTAATACAAAGAGAAAATGATTATTTTTTTCAATTATTCGATATATTATACTTGAATTATAAAATAATTTTATATATTGAATTAATGTTAATAATGATATTGTATACATAACACAAATACCACATGTAAAAGAAAGAAAACTTTGAAAATAACAAAGGATATATGATTGAATTGGATAACATTTTATTGATTGTATTAATATATAAGGTAAACTAAATGTTATCAATATAAATGAATTGATAATTAAATTTAATACTAATGGTTTTAATCGATAATGATCAATAAATAAAAAACGAATATTTAAAATAAATGATATAATTGAAATACTACTAAATACAACCGACATAAATCGATATATAATACATTCATAATCAGATACATAAAATGAATAAGACTTTTCATCTATATAAACAAATATATATATATAACATACTTATATTGAATCAATACAATATTAAACTACTATAAATACATACTAGATTGTTGTGTAAAATTCATATTGATGATCAATGATTCAGTTTTCCTTTCAAAATATTCAGTAAAATAGTTTTTCTCTAGATTTTTATATCGAATTTGTCGGATTCTTTAAGTTATTATTACTTGGTGCTTATTAAAAATAGCGTGGTGAGTTAATTATATAGATATGAATAATGTCGTAATTGTCTATGATCAGAAACTAAAAATAAAAAATCTTTTCATTAATATATCTTAATGAAGAAATTCAACATTATCCAATCATTAGAATAATACATTCAAAATAGTATTGAACTCAATAGTTTACATATTATATTTCTATAAGTCATATTTAATATAATCGAGCACAATTTGTAATAGAATGTAAAGTATGTAAATATAGCTTCTTCTCAACCAGGAAAAACTCAATTTTTTTTTGAGAGAATGTGGCGTGTACTTATAAAAAATATCATTGAAAAACAAAATTAAATATTTTTGATGGAAATTTGTTTTTTTTGTATCGGCATAAATTTATCATAACTTTATAATTAACAAAAACTTTTACAAAAAAGAAAATAAAATGTAAACTAATTTTTATCGTTATAGGAAGTCATAATGTACGGAGAAAAAAAACATTAATTATCAAGTAGCAACTGCGCTGGTTATATTTCTTTTTGTTCTTGTTTTTTGAAATGTACTTTGTTATGAATAATAAATATTAGAAGCAAATATTATATAAATTCTGTAAGATGTTGAAGAAAAAATCTTGTAGATTCAAATTTTCATTAACGTTTAATTACACCTTATAGGTCATAAAACTGTGTAATGTTTAAAGAACGTAAAAAACATATGACTTTTATAAATGTTGTATATTGTGAAATATTCTTTTGTTTTTTTTTTATAATCAGTTAATAATATTTTAGTAACATGCTTTTTAACAATCAATTGATTGGAAAATATGAAACAATTATATGAGAGTCAAAATACAAAGTCCATATTAATAATATAATATAGATATTGTTTTTTTTTTCGAGTTAATTACAGTTGAATGCAAAACAAAAAAAAACAAAACATTATTTATGAAGTTGTTTTTATATAAAATAGATGTCAACATTTTTAATAATTTTTTTAATGTTATGATATAAAATTTATGATGTGTACCATTTGATGACTAACAGCCTTTTGCGTTATTTTCTTTTTCATTTCGTATTCCCTAATGTTTCATATCCTTTTCTTTGAATAGTGCAAAAATAAAATACGCCATTAAATATTTATATATAAATATATATATATACGTCGTATATCGTATGGCACTGGTGTCAATAAGAAATCATCAACGAAAACGATAGAGAAATAGGACGTGCGAGTAAAAATGTCCTTCATTTTACATTTATTTTTTATACAAGTTGGCTTTACAGCTGTTACCACAATTACTTATTCTTGTTTATCGAATTCAACATGTGGTTGTTCAGTAAAACCAGCTATTTTAACTAAAATTGTTGGTGGTGAACAAGCTAATACAGATACATGGGGTTGGGTTGTATCAATACGTATAGGAAATAGTCATGTATGTGGTGGTTCATTAATATCTTCAACATTAATTTTAACTGCGGCTCATTGTCTTATATCACTAAAATCATTAGCAAATCTTAATATTAATGCTGGTTCAAATTATTTATCTATTATTGATCAACGAAGAACAGTATCAAAAATTTATATTCATAAATATTATGATGAAAATACTCTTGTTCATGATATAGCTATAATACGTCTTTCATCACCAATAAATATGAATGATCATTCGATAGCTCTTATTTGTTTACCATCAACTAAAACTATTGACTATCCACCAACAGATGCAACTGTTATTGCTATTGGTTGGGGTGTTTTATCATCAGGTAATAATATTCCATCTAATTCACTTCAGCAAGTTACATTAAAAACAATATCAAAGACAACCATGAATTGTCGAAGAACTATTCATGATGATAATGCTCAATTTTGTTCTGGTGTTCGAGGAGGTGGAAAAGGTATTGAAAAATGAAATATTTATTAGAATAATACAAAAAAAAGATTAGTGAAAATTTAATTATTTTATTTTTTTTTGTCATAGATACATGTCAAGGTGATAGTGGTGGTCCATTAATGATATTTTCTAATGGTCGATGGATATTAGTTGGTATAACAAGTTATGGAATTAGTTGTGCTTTAGCAAATTATCCTGGTGTATATACACGTGTTTCATATTATATAGATTGGATATCGTGTTTTTTAACAAATGATATATCTTGTATTGAAAATACAACCTTAAAACAAGCTTCTCTTTTATCAATGGGATTATCAATATATTATAAAAATATTTTAATAGTTTTTCTTTGTTTCGTTATATTAAAACTGGGACTCTCATAGATAAAAAAAAAAAAATTTTTGCATTGTGCAAATTTCATTTACTATTTCTTTCATTATATAGGTATATATATATGTATATATATATGTATATGCCCTTGATGAATATGCCTCCATTGTCAAACGAATATGACTTATACCGTTTCACTTGAGCGCAAAAACATATGTGCAGGACGAAAAAAAATAGGAAACCAAAGAAATGTCTTTCTTCGGTTCTTAAGGCTTGAACGCATACTATAAAGGTCGGTAGTGCGTATAGAATATAAAATAGGTGATTGTGTATATTATAGTTTTTATTAATAATGATTACCTTTGTAGTATTATTATTTTTATTCTCAATATTTGATATTACAATTTCTATTACTTATTCATGTAATCGTTATGCAACATGTGGTTGTTCAAAACGATCAACAATTATTTTATCAAAAATTATTGATGGTGAACCAGTAATTATTTCTCATTCATGGGGATGGATGGCATCATTAAGACGAAATGATATACATCATTGTGGTGCTTCACTTATAACTCCATCATATGTTATAACAGCAGCACATTGTGTTAATGATATTACATCATTATCTTTTTTATCACTTAATTTTGATATAACTAATTTATCAAATATTGGTGAATTACGTAATGTAACAAAAATTTATATTCATCCATTATATGATCAACGATTATATATAAATGATTTAGCTATATTACGTCTTCATAAACCAATTAATTTAACTAATTCAAATATATCTATTATATGTTTACCAGCAACAAAAGATTTTAATTTAGAACAAGCTGAATATCCACCTATAGGTGAAAATCTTGTTGCAATCGGTTGGGGTACAACAGTACCTTTTATACGTATACATTCACCTATACTTCAACAAGTTACTGTTCAAGCAATTGCACGAACAGATGCATCTTGTTTAAATACAATTAATGATGATGTTGTACAATTTTGTGCTGGTCTTCCTCTAGGTGGAAAAGATACATGTCAGGGTGATAGTGGTGGTCCATTAATGTTGTTTAAAAATGGACGTTGGCAATTAATTGGTATTACAAGTTATGGAGGAATTTGTGCAAGTCCAGGTTTTGCTGGTATTTATACAAGAATAGCTTATTATGATTCATATATACGAGAAATAATTAAATCTGATGATACATTAATATCAAATATTAAAAAATTAGAATTAGAAGATAGATCATATTCAAACACTGAAATTCTTTATCGAAAATCAATGATTTCATTATGTTTTATTTGTTTATTTATTTCTTATAGAAAATTATTTTATCGAAATTAATAATTATATTCATTATTAAACAATGACAGAATACAAAAAAAAATCAAAAAATGAATCTAAAATCAAAAAAGATGTTATCATTTTCTATCACATAAGAAAATAAAATACATATCAGATAGAAAAAAATAGATGAACTTTGTTTTTTGTTCCTTTTTCTTCTTATTAATAATTTACCAAAAGATGGAAAAACATATGGAGAAATATTTTTTTTATAGAATTAATAATACAAATGGAACGAATATTGCATATGAAATAATAAATACTCGATTTGCACGATTCACTATTGCCTCTATCCATGACTGATAAGCTGCAACACGTGTATAAATACCGGGATAATAAGCTTTTGCACATCCATATCCGACTGAAGTTATTCCTACTTGTTCCCAAACATTATTAGAAGTAAATATTAATAATGGACCACCACTATCACCTTGACATGTATCTAAATGAAAATAGTTTTTCTTTTACATAAAAGAATTCAAAAAAAAGATATGATTTATATAATCACCTTTACCACCATTAGGCATTACACCAGCACAAAATTGTGTCGATGAATCAATTAACTTAACATTTTGACAATAACTACTAGTGTCAGCAATAGATTGAACAGTTACTTGTCGAAGTATTGAAGATACTACTTGACTACCTTCACTTTGAACACCCCAACCAATAGCAACAAGCTATAAATTATATATTAAATTTAAAAAATAAATATATTAATATTACATTGAGATTGGCTGATGGATATTCTTCATTAGCAAGTACACTTGTTGATACATTAGGTAAACAAACAAGATCAATACCAGCTTGATCAAGATTTAATGGTGATGATAATTTAAGTATAGCAATATCATTACGATAATTCGATGGTGAATAATTTGGATGATTATAAATTTTTGAAACTTCTCTTACTTGACCTCCTGAAAATAAATCTATTGATCCAACATAAACGCGTACTGAAGAAGGAAAATTTAATCTTTGAGTACAATGTGCTGCAGTAAGAATATGTGAATCAGATATAATCGATCCTCCACAAAAATGAGAATCACTAGATGTATAACGAAGTGATGCAGCCCATCCCCATGTTTGACTTGCAGCAGTTTCTCCACCGATAATTTTTGTTAAAATAGCTGAATTAATTGAACATCCACAAGAAGCATTCGATGAACAAGTATATGTTGTACTTGATACAAATTTTAATAAAATTCCAAATAAAAAAATCAATATCACGTGTAATATTTTACGTATCATCGAATTAGAATAAAAGATGTCGATATGTAGTAGCTAGAAAAAAAAAAGAGAAAAAAAAACAGATGACAAAAGAAAAGTGTCTTTTATCAAAACTGAAAGAACACCAAAACGTTGTTTTTGTCAAAAGAATCGACTTATTTTTTTAACGTCAGATGCGGTTCCGTTTATTTACCTCTTATTATATTTTCAAATTTTTTCACGATCTTTGACAATTGTCTAGACGAAAGAAACGAATACGATGTTATCACAAAAAAAAACGTTTTTTTTCTACATTATTCACGCCTAATTTATATTGGTATGGTGAGAAATAAGTTTGCCGTTTGCCTAAATAAAAGAACAAAAATTATTGTAAAATTTCATTGATTATCATTATTAATCATACGATGCAATATAATAGAATTATTTTCGCAAAATTTTTAAATGACCTTCATCAAATAGGTTTTTTTTATATTAATTCTTATTCAATGGCAACTATTTAACTATGTGCAAAAATCATTCTACACATAGAACACGAAAAAAAAAACCTGCTCGGCAAAATATTTTTTTAATATGAATCATAAAATACTGTCATGACTTTTATTTGTCCTTTTTTTGTTAACAGAGTACATAATTTATTTTCGTACGTCAAGATTTATATGCAACATTTTTGTAAAACCAATAATAAAGGAAAGAAAACGACAAAACTTATGGCTCGTCTAGTAACTAAATTTTCGAACGTAATTGAATGGAACTTTATAATAAATGTGAATTTTTCTTTACGTAAAAAGAAATTTCTTTAACTTACAAAATTCTATTTCATGTTATCATACACGATTGTCATTGGATAAAGTATGCCTTCTTATACTTGATATTATATCAATAGAAAAAAAATCGAACAAAAGCTTGTCCGCTAATCATTACAGAAAATAACTTTATAAAAACTCTATTCATAGACAGAGAGACAAAACAGAATACTTTCTTGCTCTTGGATAAAAGTCTATAAAGTATAATGGGTGACGCAGGTTAAATACGAAAATGTCATTTTCTGGTCTGAGTCATTTCGGTATATTTTCAGGAAGTTATTCGATAGAAAATTTTTTCGCTCCACCAAAACTGTTCTGTATAAATTTTTCTCGTTGGAATAAAATTTAAAATATGTACGTCTGCGTAATTGTCTAACTGCAATTTTCTCCATATATTGTGTTCTCTGCTTCTACGACCTTTTCAAGAGTCCTAGTGCTATCATTCATGAGAAAAAAGCTTGAGACTAAAGCCTACTGATATTTTTTTATGCGTGTTGGAAAAGTATGTTCTTCAAAGCGAGACTTAGTGTGTGAAATAGTCATTCTCGTGCTGTCGGGTGTAGAATTTAATTCTGAACAAAGTGAATGTTGTGACTGCTAAGTTAAAGAATATAAACAATTAGGTTGTATCGAAATAAAAAAAAAAGAACAATCACATAATCCTGTCAGACAGCGTTTTTTTTCCAGCTTTTACTTTATGATTATTCTTGCAAATATTTCTTCAAAAATTCTGAAATATATACAAAAAAATACAGAATTTTGTATCATACTTGTCACTTCAGAAAACTATTGTTAAAAAAAATTCTTCGCATCATTTTTCCATTTTTTTGACTGTCGATTGAATAAGTGTTAATATCTTAAATATTACTCCAACAACCAAAAAAAACCTAACTTTAAAAACAAATGCAACAGTTTTATTGTAGAAAAAAATTCTTTATCGAATAATATTCTAAAAATGCATCTGAGTGCCGCCGAAAAAAAAGAGAGAATGATATTATTCCGTTTAATCTGCGCCACCAGTTCAGACTTGTCGATATTTTTTAGAAGTGGAAGGTACTTTGAGGATGTGGATGAAGATAAGATCTACGCCCACACCCGAGCGGATGTCCTTAGCATAAATCATATATATCCCTTTCGAGTCAATGGATTCCACCGGTGGGATCCGCCATATTTTAACAAGAAAATGATTAGAAAAACACTTTCTTTTCCTTTTTCCTTAGGCAGATGGTTATGTGTAATGTATCATCTGCTCTCTCTGCTATTGTTTGAATTACCTATTGCATAGCATGATGTTTCTCTTTGAAACAACCAAGATAATAAAATTTGTCACAATCAGAACAGAAGGTTTTTATTTTCTTTGCTATCCCATTACTTGCTTCTCTTGATTGTTGTTGTCTGATTTTCTCGTAGTAGTCAGCACAGCGTCTTTGGACATCGTGATCCGATCCTTCCTTTTCTTCGAGCTCGTGGTCAGCGAGTTTGCGCTTCATTTGACTTGTTCATTGTTGCTTCGGACCAGATTTCAGCTTCTCGAATGACGTATCAGGCAGTAAAGATCGAAAAAGACTTTCACGAAACTGTAGCACGGTCATATGGCTTCTGTCATAATTTTTCTTGTAAATTAAATAGGCATTAACGCTGTGCTGGCTGCTACGAGAAAATCAGACAACAACAATCAAGAGAAGCAAGTAGTGTGACAACAAAGAAAATAAAAACCTTCTGTTCTGATTGTGGCAAATTTTATTATCTTGGTTGTTTCAACAAGAAATATAAGGCTATGCATTAAATAATTCAAACGATAGCAGAGAGAGCAGATAATACATTACACATAACCTTCTGCCTATGGAAAAAGGAAAGGAAAATATTTTTCTAGTCATTTTCTTGTTAAAATATGACGGGTCCTACCAGTGGGACCCATCAACTCGAAAGGAATATATACTAGAGATCCACGAGTCAGCGAAAAAACCATCTCGTCACTGTCTCGCCTAGAATCTAATATAAAACACACATCTCCTTATGTATTTTTCCAATATCATCTAAAAATCACTAATTCTTTTATTTCATAAGATTAAATAAAGGCAGCAATGTGACGACAAGTCAAAAGTGGAGGAGTGTCAAGAAATTTTTTGAGTTCTGAAAACGTACATATACAATTTTCTAGAAGTGGGATGATAAAGGGGATTGCGCCTCCTTCTCCTCACCTCGCTGCATCTGTGGATAAAGTACAGGATTTCCACAGAGGACAGTTCAAAGTTTTATTCAATAAAATGAATTTTTCGAATATTCTTACAAAGTAACAATCATACGTTCAATGCACAACTAAAGTCCTTTTTTTGAGGTGCTAAAAAACAATATATATAGGAATGTATTGAATTTATTCCATTTTGTTTTATTATTGTAGAGTTCCAATCATCTAGACCTATTCCTCTTTCTTCATAAGCAATTTTTTAATACATCAGAAAAACTCAGAATGATTGGCACATTTCTTCAGCAAACATCTGTTTCTCCCTTATCGAAGACTTCGATGAAATGCAAATTAAGTAAACCTAAAGCGATTTAAGTGTTTTCGTAGACACTAGACTTGGGATTGTTGCTTTTAATTTGTTAAAAATGTCTAAAAAATATTTATAAAGGAAGAGAACTAGAACCGAATGACAAGGAGTTCACAATAATCAATGAAAATGGAAAAAATTTCAAGAAACAATTCTACATATTATTTTTTCTTTGGTACCTCATAAAAGGACTTTTATTGTGTAGTGAACGTGACAATGTTATTTGTCAGAATATTTGAGAAATCTGTATTATCTGAATAAAAACTTTAAACTGTTCTCAACAATCAATACGAAAAGCAATTCATTCAATAGGACCATAATGGAAATATAAAATTTTCTTTTTAAGTTAATGACTGTCCGAATACCCTGTATTTTTAATGCACATAAATAGATTCAAAACACAAAATACAAAAATAGATAATGGGACTAGAATGAATAACTATGCATTTCCAACCTCGTTCATTGGAACAATAAAAGTGAATGTTACAAAAAAAAACGAATAGCTATGATTTATATAAATCTAGCACGAAGAGGAAAATGAATGATAGTTGAATAAATAATTGAGTATATAAGTACCACAGAACACATTTGAATTCTATTAAAATTCGACAGTTTTCTTTTTCAAGCTTTTCGGAAGCATATTCGTCATTATCACGAAACAATAACAAAAAAAATAAAATATGCCGAAACTATTACATGTCTTTGGACTCAAATAAATTTATTATATATCCTTAACTCGCCGAGTTGCGAATCTCTGGTATATATCATGTCAACGCATATGAATAGTATTATAAACTTTGTTGATCTAAATCAAATGATGAAAAACCTTTATTGCATGATTTGACTCAATAAAATCATTGATTACAAGAGCACGATAGTTTTTCGTTCTATTTCAATAAGAAAAAAGGAAAAATCTTTAAATTAAAATCAATTTTATCGTTTTGAAAATAAACTTTCCGAAACTTTGAATGATTTTTATTTTTATTTATTTAAAAAATATGCTAATAAAAAGTTATCGAACGGTACGATTAGTATTATTTATCGATGGTCCTTCACATAAACATTTATCAAGTGTTGGAGCCATTTTCGATATAAAATTATCAATAATTCTTTTTTGTTCATTTATCCAATCAATTTCACGTAATAAACTTTGTTTATGTTCAATTAATATACTCATTTGTTCTCGTTCAGTTTTATCATGACGCATTAATGTAGCCATATGACGATTAACATCAGTATCATATTGTCCATGTAATATTTGTGTTTCATTTCGAGTTTCTTTACCTAGATCAATAACTTTTTTTAATTTTTCAGTTACATGTTTTAATTCATCCTTAAAGAAAAAAATAAAATAAAAACTAAGACAGATAAACACAAAAAAAAAAAACAACAAAATTTATTTATTTTTCTTTACTTGAAATTTTCTTGTTGTTGAATTATCAGATTTTGATAAAATTCTATTTGTATCTTCACATATTGGTGATGCTATTTCAAGTGAATTTTCATATCGTATCATTTTTGTTTTAAGTCTTTCGACTTGTTCTAAACGACCTTTAGCTGTATTAATCATTAAACGAAAACGAGAATCAGTATTTGATTGTAAACGTATTGCTTCTTGATGACATTGTGTTAATTTAGTTAATGTTGTATCAAGTTTTGAACGTATAGCTAATAATAGTGCTTGTTCATTGTCTAATCGTTGATTTGTTTCAATATTTTGTGTTGCTAATATTTGCATGCGATTATTGATAAATTGTTCGGCTTCGATAAAAGATTTTTCTAAAAGTGATGATAACTAAAATGAAGATTTTAAAAAGAAAAATTATGATTTTTATTTTTATCAAAGTAATCATTTTTACATGAGTTGCGTCAGCATGAAATTTTTCAGCTTGATGAATATAAACCGTTGATGATTGTTCAACATCATTTAAACGATGATTGATATCCATTTTGATAATAAATGGATGTGAAAATTCAATCAGTTAGATAAATATATGAAGAACAAAGAAATAAAAAAAGAAAGAGAAAGAATTCAACTATATAACAAATCAAAGAAATATCTTATCTTGTTTGATATGTTACCACGTGTGTTGTTACACGCACTATTAGCGAATCGATATGAAAAAATAATGTGCACTAGATGTGATCATATGCTTATCTCTATTCCTATTGGCTCTATTTTTGTGCTAAATTTCACTTATACCAGATGTTTTATAAGTCTTGGGACGCGACAAAATTGGTTTATATGGACACACAGAACAATATCTGACTATTATGTTTCTATATCAGCTTGAAGTACTTGTGACGACCTTTAAAATAATATATTATTGAATAGCATCTTCCCTGATAATAATAAAAATATAAACATGATAATGTAATGATGAATTTTTCAAAATCGACCAACATGATACAAGATGTATTTCGCACACATCTCATTGTAGATAAATGATAAAATCTTGAATTTTTTTTAAAAAGATGTGCCGTAAAAAGTTCTACAAAAATGTTTGAACAAATACTTACTGACTTGTTCTGATGGTCTACTTCATACTCAAAATGAACAACTTACATAATAGTCCTACTTTCTATCGTATTGAGTATAATAAAAAATATTTCGAAGACGTTTATTTTCCATATGTCTCAGCTTAGAAAAAAGACAAAATCTTGAATTTAAAAAAAAAACGCATCATTGAAAGCTCTACAAAATCTCTGCAAACAGACCTCAATTGCCCAACAAAAAAGTCTTCGAAATATTTTTTATTATACTCAATACCATAAGAAGTAGGAGTATTATGTAAGTTGTTCATTTTGAGTATGAAGTAGATTACTTTGCAAACTTCAATAAATACTTCTTTATTATTGTGAATAATAAATAATATTTGAAAAGTCAGTTGTAATCTTTCTACAACGAAATAATCAATGTCCATTGTAGTTATTTTGTCAGTTTTCTTTATTAAATTTGTCTGCATATTTCTAGTGAGAAAGTTCATTTACATTAATGAAATATATTGATTAGTCTTTCTTTACTTGACTTTATTTATATGTTATAACAATGATTAAAGTCATGTATGTGTACATATCTGATTTATTTTTTCGTTTTCATAAGATCTCTAAGAATTCTGTAGTTGTTTTTTTTTCTTGCCTTCTTTATTTACGTTTCATTTGTCTTCTCTTGTATGTACTTGAATTCAGTTTCTCTATTTTAATCAAAATTTTTTATTGGAACCCAAAAATCCATTCAATTATTTATTTATTGAATATATAGAAAAAAAATATTTTTATATCATCCACAAAATAATAATTGTGGTTCACCTTTGAACTAATTATTATTCTAACTTTTATTTGTATTTTCTTTATAGTTATAGTCTTCTTTTCGTAAACCTCATTTTTGTATTGTTTACCTCTTTTATTAATATTAATACTGATCAGTTCATGATTTGTACTTTTTATACGTAAAGGATATGTCACAAAAAAAAGCCAAAATTGACTTCTGTTTAAACCTGTATATTTGTGAAACGAGATCTAGTTTTTCTTTCTCAAAATTCTTGTTTTTGCTGTATCTTGTTCTGAAATTGATTAACTCTGCACATTTGAACTTCGATGGTAAAAAATCAAATACGTTTACCAATAGCGACTAGATTTTACCTTTATAGATTTTGATAAAGACTTTAAAATCTATCATAATATTATTAACATTTCGTTTATTAAATAATGATCAAACATATTCAATATGTAAAAAAGTTCGTAAAACAGATTTTATATGAATCAATCAATGAGTTCATGCCAAAGTAATATCTACTTTATATGTCACTAATGCCCATGTAAAAATAAAGGCGGATAGAAATTGTTTTAATAAATTTTGATAGAAACAACATAGAGAACTACGGCCTTCATTTTTAGAAAGAGGAGATGAAGACACATCGAATCGTTTATTATAAGTTTTTTCGACTTAGGTTTTTTACGGTTTTCAATGGACCTTTTTGAAAACCAACGTATCCTGTGAGATGACTATAGTGAAGTTTTAATAATCAGGTATACATTCGAGCCTGCAATGGAAGATCTGAAAAACTACACAAATCTCAGAGTTCTATATTTAGTTATTCAGGAGTTATAGGCACTCTAGTCAAAATTCTCGGCCGATTTTTCAAGCAATTCCTGTGAAAAAAACTTACGTTTTTGCTTTTTTTATGTTAAAAGGAACCATTTTTCCGACACTTTTTTAAAATAAATTTGATTAAAAAAACTTCAGAAAACATCTTAGGAAAATCTATAATATATATGAACAGATGCAACTTCATCTCCTCTTTCCAATGATGAAAATCACAGTGCTCTATCTTATTTCTATCAAAAGTTATTCGAAAAAAATATGCGCCCATCTTTATTTTTTGAAATAGGCATTAGTACAAGGGGGAAAAAGCTGATTCCAAGATTCCAAGATTCCATTGATTCTACATGATTCTATTGATTCTACGTGATTCTATTGATTCTATATGATTCCATTGATTCTGTATGATTCCATTGATTCTACATGATTCTACATGATTCTGTGTGATTCTATTGATTCTATGTGATTCCATATGATTCTATAAGATTCTATATGATTCGAAGTGAGGATGCATGACCTTAAGCAATAGTAAAAATTTGCCAAAATATTTAATTAAGTAAAGAAATGTTCAGAAGTAGCAAAAATCAAACAGCATCTACAACGTTTATCAAATAATTATACATTGAAAGTTAAGCAGGATATCTATTCTTTTTATTTTTATTTAAAAAAAATTTCGTTTTATTTGTTAGTGTTGTTTGTTAGCTTTGTTTGTTATTTTGCCATTACACGAGTTAATCGATCAGACGATAATGTATATTTTTTATCTGTGAGATACCAAATGGCTGTACTTTTATGTAAATACTTTTGTTTTCCATCAATACGAACTAAGAAATAGGAGTCTTTCAGATCTGGATTAATGGTATTACGAACTCCTTTCATAGTCGGTAAACGATTATTTGTTGTTTGTGATGTTAAGATATCGTCGTTGTCTTCATCGATACCATCGTAATCCTCCTCATCATCATATATATCCATTTCGTTTTGATCGTTCTGTTCATCTTCCTCCGTAATACTTCCTTCAGAATCTGAGTCCGATTGAGCATTTTGTTCATCAATTGATGTTGGAATTAGAAAATCTGCTTTTGTTGAAGACTTTTTTAAATGATTGTATATATGTTCACTAACTTGTTTCATAGTAACATCGATTGATTGTGTAAATACTTGTTTGATGCCCAATGGAACTAAAAGATTAAAAGCATCGCTGAACGCACGACCCACTTGTTCTTCAATTTGTTGCTTGGTAATTTTTTCTGGTTGAATTGTTGATTGTTTTGAATTTCGTTGTGTCTTGTGATGACTAGAAAATTTAAATGTAGTAGTTGTTAATGATGAATTTGTTTGAGCTTTGATATGATTTAAGAATGAAATCTTCTCTTGTCGATTAAGAAATTGTTGAATAGAAAAATTTACACAAGTAGAAAACGTTCCAGTTATAGATCTTGTTAGTTGAAAAAATCTCTCACAAGTTTGAGAATTGAAGAGGAATACATTTAATGTTTCAATTGGTAATTAATTTTTGACAACCAATAATGTAAGATAAGTAAAATTGTGTGCATTAATTTCAAGACATAAAAAACTCGGTGATGTAATGAAGAAATTTCGTTTTGTTTTTTTTTGTTTGAATTTATCTTTGGCAATTTCGGAAATATTATTCATTTCTGAAATACGTTTATCTAATTGTCGTTTGGGTATCAAATCAAGCCATGTACGCCACAGTCGACATAGGAACACGGCTAACCAGGCGTGATATATCCGGTCAGAAGTTGTTGTTGATGTATCAATGAATGCTATAATTACACAACGAATAATATTGATATATACGACTGTAGCATCCGAACCACTAATTTCTTTTAAATATTCTAATGCAGCACATAACTTTTCGCACGATCTATAATTTTGTTTGTCACGAGGACAGATGTCCGACTTGACCAAATTGTGCTTGAATTTCGATTGTGATTCAATAAGTTGCAATAAATAATCAATACTAATTACATTTTCACCCATCATCATAATAGCTGAAGATTGTAAAAGTCGATTACGAAGTTTGGTGCAAACGTGAGTTGCATCTTGCATGAATAAGAATAACTGTTCACCTGGTAAATAAAACCACGACCAAGAAGTTGGTATAGCAACCTTTGGTAATGAAGAGTGTTTTGATTTTGGGTTATTGATTAAGACACCAAAAAAACCAGAAACCAGCATCATGGCTAATAAATACTTTGGATCAGTGTCCGTTGAATATCCTACGATCCGTATACCTCGTGATGAACTTTCTTCAAAAATTGTATACCAACGACGAATAATATCAAGGGCAGTGTATTTTCCATTTGTTCCATATGCAGCTAATGCAAAAGAAGGACTAATTTGATTATTAATACATATTGGCTGGATCATATGTAAATTAAGTAAATGAGACATTTCTTTTTCTTCAAACCAACTTTGTAAATCTTCAATTGAGTTTGTTCGAAAATATTTAATATGAGGCATACCATTTTCGTCGAGTGGTGGTGTAAATCCAATAAATGAATTTGATCGAACATCATATACGATCTTCGTAAAGTACTGGTACAATCTTCACTACAAAATGCAAATTTTGAATTAATTTCATCCATATATTTATTCATATCATCGTAGCGGAATTCACCTTCTAATGCACGAAATCCTGCTGTGGATAATTTTGCTCGAATTGTGATTAAGCTGGGTAATGTACCAGGTATATTAATACGTAAAAATTCATATGCGTTGCGGTCTGCTAAAATAAATAAGCAGACAGCGAAATCAAGTACTTGTTCATTATAACGATATCGACTTTCGGCAACAGTTAAATTTGAAAGAAGGTTTTCAAGGAAGTAATGTAGAAAAGGTTTATCAGTTGGATGAGAATTTTGAGAAGATGTGATGAAGAAGTTGATTAAACCATTGAGAAATGGATATTGTTGTAAAATCTCGAATGGTATTATTAAGTCGTTTTCATCAGTAACAGCAGTTGTCATTTGTCCATTATTAATTGATGCATTTCGAAGGCTGTTCAATAATTTATCAACGTCGTGCCGGATTCCAATCTTGATTGTACAACTACCATCAGAACGACAAAATGCTAATTTCTTCTTGACAATAGCTAATTCAACATAATCTTGCTGTAATGGTAAGAAAATATCATTAATATCAAGGAGTGAACGAACTGAACGAACACGAAGTAGTTGTAAATATTCTACAATATCTTCACCACAAAACTGACCAACCAAATCAAAAAAGGCAGCATCTCGAAATTCAAGTACATTATGTGGAAATAAAAGCAGTGATTGAGTCATGTTATTATTTTTCTAAATGAATAAACAAGGTAGAATGAGCATAAACAGAAACGATCACTTGTATACTAAGAAAAAAAGAAAGAGATGTGATAAAAAATTTATTTTATTTATCAAAATTGTAAATACGAGAAAGACAACACTTTTCGATTTTTTTTTGTTATATTTACTATCATTAAGCACTTTGTAGCAAGAAATTTCCTATCTTTATTAGAAAATTATTCTAAGCACCTGTAAAAAAACAAACATCAAAAGTAAATATCAGTCACTATTATTCATAAAAATTGAATATTGATAAAATAAAAATAAAAAAATTAATTAATGAAATATCTAAGTTATCTGTTGTATTACGTCTAAGCTGTTCGAATCTTTTTCGTCGTTGTATGCTTAGATGTTGATCGTCGAGTTCTTTTTCGAACAGAAGTTATTGATATTTGTTGTAAAGAAGAAATAGAAGTTGAATCTTGAGTATCATCTTGTGTTGTATCACCAATTGAATCATTCATTACTTCAGTTTGAACCATCAAGCAACCTGATTTTAAATGACGAAAGTAATTTGATAACTATTAAAAAGAGAAAGAAAGAAAATTTTTATTGATGTTTTTTCAACTACATTTACTAATAAATAGTTCATATTCGGTCGATTTTGTAATTTTACTACGAAAATGCAAATATTTTACCTAACTTCAGTACCATTCAAAGGTAAGAAATAAATATTTAGACTCTGAGGTTAAACATTCGACTTCCTACTACCTCACATACTACGTCTAATTTGTTGAAACAAACATGCTAGGAGACAGTAAATGTTTTGACAAATAGCCTTACTTTGAAATTGCCGGATTCAGCACGTAACAGAATGTATACTAAACCACATGAACATTTAATTTCAGCTTTATCAAGAGATGAAGTAAATTTTAAATGATAATGCATACCAGAAATAAGATTAGAATCAGGAATTTTAATTGCAGTTTTATTTTGAATACACCAATCTTGAATAGAATTTTCAATAAGATCACGATGTCCATCTTCATCTTTTTCTGAAACGGATAAACCAGCAGTTGTATTAACATTAGATAAATTATTAGAACTGAATGATGAACATAAACCAGTTGATTGAAATAAAGTCGGTTGCATACGTTTGGTTCTGACGACTTTTTTTTTGCATTTCTTTCAAAAGTGTCTTAACATAATCAAGTGAACTTTTAATTCCTGGTCTGACTGTATATATTCCATTTCGATTCTTGAAACCACATCGTGTCTGAATTTCCTTCACGTCATCACTATCAAGTGCAAATATGGAATAAGCATCTTCAATGGAAAGAAATGAATCGACAGATCGTATAGATGGAATTGATAATAAGTCGGCCTCGTCTTTACCACAGAAATTTTCAATAAATGTGTAAAAACGTTCGTTTGTATAAGTAAAAACGTCTTTTGGTAAACGAGATATGTCGACTGAAATACGTGTCATGTTGATTGTGTAGAAGATGAAATTGAACAATAGACATATACGAGAAAATAATTACTAAAGCAGACGACATTCTTATTGTCCGTCTAGATAATATATATGAATGAAAGAAAAAAAAACTTTGAACGTTCGTTATATCTAGTTCAATTAATTCATTTTTGCATCTCACTTAAGATCACAAACGTTGTTATAGAAAGGTATTTATTTTAACAAAAATTGTTTACATATATATATAATACTTATTTGCAAGAATAAATAAAGCGAAAAAAAATAATATACAAATAATATATTAAAATTAAAGTGCCATGAATGGTTGTTCATAAATTGAAACAAGTGCGAAAATAAGAAAAAGAATTTTTTCTTATTTATCAGATATTCATATGCAAATAAAGTCTCTAATGACAACTGATTTTGCTTGCTTTCAGTTGTATAAATGATTTCCGATGACTTCGTGCGATTTTTACTGCTTTCACTGAATGACTTCCATAGTGGTTCTACCAATTGATTCTACATGATTCTACATGATTCTATGTGATTCTGAGTGATTCTATTGATTCTGAGTGATTCCACAGATTCTGCGTGATTCTGTGGATTCTGAGTGATTCCATTGATTCTACAGTGATTCCAACGCTATAGAAACAGCTTTTTCCCCCTTGCATTAGTAGCAATCTTCTTTGTTCCGTTTAGAAAGTACATAATATGTTTTTTTCTTTTATAATAGAGAAATTCGCATTTTACATTTCAGTTGATAAATCAATTGATCAATTATACAATTCTCAAACAAATATTTCTTCGACATAAAAATATGATAGATAAGTTTACTAGTAGAATCAATGTCTTTTCGATTGTAATAGTATTCATGTATAGAATTAATAGAAAAGAAACTGGTATATATTTTCTACGAGTTCATTTCTGCATCAAGTACTATTTATAATGCCAAGAATGTCACACCTTTTTTTTCTCTCCTTTTTTTCTACTTAACTTGTTTTATTTTTCATAGATTCATTCGAAACGAAAAAGAAAAACGAAGAGATTCTTAAACAAAGAATCAATATTTTTATTTCTATTGATTTCTTTTTTCAGAAGGATCGAAACCTTTTATTACAGAGTAATTTAATAGAAGCGATTCTGAATTTGTTTGCTAATTATATTATTTTATTGATAATAAAACAATATATAAATTGAATATGCAATTATCGCATATTCCAGTAGGTCCGTATCAAGCTGATGTTAGACGGGTGAGCATCTATAAACCTCAAAATCTTGAAGACAATGTGTTACGAAGACCACCGGTTAGTTTATTTTTAGGAAAAAATTAATATGAAATATTAATGTTGCTTATATCTTTTAGTCAGCATTTAGCTACAGAAGTGTTGTACAAAGTCCATTACCATTACCAGAAATTGGAAATGCATTTAATGAAGTTGATGGGCAAACAAAAGCACGTGCAGTATCTAAAAGGTAAATAAAATGTTAACTTTCAGAAAGATCTATAGTGTAAAGTATGATTAAATACAATGTAGATCGAATAAAATATTTGATAAGAAATACGGTATACATATACTAATATGAAATGACATCTTCTCTTGTAAGAATAAGAAGAACAGAATGTTTAATTTTTCGAAATCAATCAACAAAATTTTTTATTTTAAGAAAAACAAACAAACATTATATTTGACTGATTCAAATAATAGTTTGATTGAAGGATGTCCCATCAGTTTTCAGCCTCAATAAAAATTAGTTTATATGTAAACAATGAGTAATTCCTGTCTAATTATATTTCTATGAGCTTTGAGTACTTAGGACGATGTTTTGAATAACATTAGTCCTATTAATAATAGTAATATAAACAAAAGGAACGTGGTAATTAAAATTTTGAAATCGATCAGTATTTTTTTTTAGGAAGTTTTAATGAACTATGAATTCACCGTGTGTAACGTAACACAATTATACAAATCAATACGTAGTTTTAGGGTATGGATGTGGCTATCCTATGTATTCACATACTAGTTTTCATATTTCTTCTGTTTATATCACGATTATTAAAAGAGATAATACCATTGAAAACATCGTCCGAAGTACTGGAAGCTCATATAGATGTAGTTGAATAAGAATTACTCTTTGTTTACATATAAACTAATTTTCATTGAGACCAAGAACTAATGGGACGCTCTTTATACAAAAATGTCAATTAACTATCGTGTTTTTTGTTTTCCAGTACTTATTATTATTTCGTTAAGTCTTTTAGAAATTTTATCAATCAATCTTACACAATCATCACAAGTTATTTTTTCTTACTTCTTTGTTTAGTCTAGGTTTTTTTTAGTCGTATAAAACTTGAAAATTGTCTTCCCCCATTTATTTTTTCTTCAATATTTTCTATATTTTTTCGAAAGATATTCATTCATAAGTCACACCTTAAATGAACAGTTCATAAAGAGAAAAAGCTTTGAACAATGTTTGCAAAATGAAAACTCTTATTCTTCACAATGTTTTCTTTTTTGGTTGAATACAGGATGTGTTCGTGTTCAAAGAGGAAAAAAGCAAAAATTTCATACTTCGACGTACTCCAAGGACTTGTCAAAGCTATTCTCTAGAACTATTAGGAGGTCGGAATTTCGACTCGGGCTCAAAAATGACCTCATTAACTCCTATAAACTATGGAATGTATCAATTAATTAAAGAAATAAGAATTAATAAAGTCAATTTTTAAGCTCCGGATCGAAAATTCCTGTGATTCGAACTTATTAGCTATTTCAAGTCTACTATCAACATGTGTCACGAGCATATTAGTTTTAGTTCGTTTTATATAAATCTGCTTGGCAATAAAGTTCAAATACTTCATTGTACCTCACTAGTACTCAAATCGCGAAGTATGATGGAATATTTGGGCATTATTATCTGATACACATATGTAAAATAAACTCAAACTAACATGCTCGTGATACAAGTTGATAGTAGACTTGAAATAACTAAGAAGTTCTAGAGGATATCTTTGATATACTCTTAAAGTGTGGTTCATTTAAATAATACAAAATATCCTATGAAAAGCTCATTGTTTTTTCTTCTCTCTTATAAATCACGATTGATATTTCATTTTATTACTTCTATGAATATAAAAAAAAAGTATTTTGTATGCTTAATTTTGCCTATTTAATTAATTAGATTAATTCCAGCTCGTCGACTCTGTATGCTTTTGCTGATTGGTGGTATTATAGCTGCTATTCTGGCTTCGGTTGCTGGTATTGTGCTTGCTACTACATTACGTATGTAATTCTTTCATACTATCTATAATTATTGATTCCATTGAATATATAAAATTTTTATTACAAAAACTATAGCACAATCAAAATCAACTACTTCGATAACCACTTTCACTACTATAAGTAAGTTTATGTTTCCATTTAGATAAAATTATCCACATAGAAATGTATTATGAGCCAAGATTAAATCAAAAAAGCAATTCTATAAATCAGAACTATGATTACAAAATATGAATAATTCAAATATATGTTTATGAATGCATACATTAAATTGAATAGAATTACATAAGAAAATTTGTTCATAAAGATCTATTTAAATATTCATATTTGATTGATTGTAAGTTTTATATATATTCTATTCAACATAGTATGAGGAAAATTCAATTATTATGAAAAAAAATTATCTTTCCATTTGATGTAAATTTTTATTAGTTAATTTAATTTTCGGTTGCTATTACAAGAAATTATTGTCAGATGTCATTTAGCGTCTCTCTTCAACTGTTACAAATCTGTCAACTTAGTTCTGAAATATTTTAAGTTTCTTGCTCGAAATTTTCAGGTAATGCTACTACTTGTTCTAATATGATTGAGAAACAAAAAAACTAAATTTTCGACACGTTGCTCTGTACATACAAATACTAAGCATAATTTTTCAGAAGATTTTATTTTCAGTATAACTTTCTTATAATGTTTGACTTGTCAAATGTAGTTTGAGTCAAAAGAGATATGAAACATTCTGAAAGGATAAGTTTCCTTAGACCTTTCCTTCAGAGTTAAGGCTGTTTAACTGGAATCTTATGCTATGTTCATAAAAAATTTCATAGTCATCGTGAAACTGAATATATATGAATCTGAAGTAGTCAAATTTTATTTGACATTTTTTCAACAATAGTTCACAGGAACTGAAACTATATAAATAAAAAGAGTAAAACACGAACTCAATACTTTTAACTAAAACTTTCTAAAAGTAAAATGTCTATGCAATGAAATGTTTATTTTATGGTAGACTTCATGTGAACTCTTTATCATTTTTATATAATAAATAATTTTTCTTTCCAAATATCATATTCGAAAGCGCATATGACATTGCACATAAGATAGCAGGTGACTTAAAGTTTGTCAAAAAAAACATCTTGTTTGATTTTGAGAGATCATTTTCTGAAAAATTTCTAGCATCAGACGCTCTTTCAAATATGATATTTCGAAAGAAAGATTACTCATTATATAAAAAGTGATAAAGAGTTCACATGAAATCTGTCATAAAGTAAGCATTTCACATTATAAACCTTTTGTTTTGAGAAAGATTTACTTATCAAAATGTAGCTTGTATTTTGCTCTTTCCATTTATATGATTTCAGTTCCTGTGAACACTTGTCAAAAAAAAACAATAGCTTAATTTAAGAGATCATACAAAAAAATTTTGTCCAACAAAAATTGATAACTTTCAATTGTTATATATTCAGTTCTACTATGAGGATGAAATTTCCTGTAGACATAGTATCAACACTGACTGTACTTATGATGCAAATCACATTTCAAAAGTCAACTGTATGAAAAAGTTATATTTAAAACAAAACTATCTGAAAAATTGTCCCCAGTATTGTATATCATAAATTAATAGTCTTATTGTTCTAGGCACTTTGATCAATTCAACGACTACAAGTTTTACAAGTATTACAAGTACTACCAGTTCTACAAGTACTGCAAGCACTTCAGGCACAACCAGTTCTACAAGCACTACAAGCACTAAAAGCACAACGAGTTCTACAAGCACTACAAGTACTACAAGCACCACATCAAGTACCACTACATCAGAAACTACTTCAACAACTACAACAACAAGCACCACTACATCAGAAACTACTTCAACAACTTCAACAACAAGTACCACGACTGATACGACAACGACAACGACGACAACTACAACAGAGACAAGTGAGTGTTTTATTCTTAGTTTTAATATAAGTTTCTAAAAATTTATCAATTAATGAATAGCAACAAGATGTTCGAGTCGTGGTCATGGCAATCTAGGATTATTAAGTGGTTATGCTTCATCTTCTTGGACTTCATATTCGTATACATATACCGCAACAAAATCAGAACATATTCTTATATTTGGATTTAAAGCAGCTATCAATCGTACATGGCTTATAGATGATATATCAGTTGTTGATAATGCTCTTCCTTCTAATCAATTACTTAACAATCCAAGTTTTGAAGATTCAAATACATCAATATCTAATTGGGTACAATGGTGTACATCCCATTGTCATTATGGTACAAGTGGAAAATTAATATCCGGTACAGATTGTTATTTAGGAGTTGGTAATTGCTTCTCGGATAGTTGTCTTGGTCCTGATATTGATTTTTTGGGTCAATATTTTCCAACAACACCCGGATCAACTTATACTATATCATTTCAAATATTATTAACAGGAACAGATGGTTATTATTATACTACATTCTATGCTGATTTACTGTAATTACGAAAAAAACAAAGCAATTTTCTCTATGAGAAGAATAATGTATATGATTGATAAATCGGTTTTTTCTTTTTAGTACTTTTCGTTTGACATAATTTATCATAGTCATGACTTTGATTCACAAGATTTAAGAAATAATAAATTTGAATGTAAAATAACAAAATACCAACTTTTTATTGTTTGATTAATAGTCGATTTTCAATATTTTAATTTATACAAATAACTTTGCTCTAATTTTAATTAAATCATATTTTGATTGATTCTATTATAATGAGTGGTTGAAGATATATTGATTAAATTAACATCCATGTTTCTCCTGTTTTACTGATGGTTTGTAGCAGATTTTATTTTTATACGAAATATACACACTATGAATATTATAAAATTACATAATCAAAATATTGAAAATGTTTGTTTATTTTTAGTTTTTCTTAATTTTGTTCGAAAATCATTTTATATCGATTGGACAACTTGTTTCAATTTTTGATAAATTCTTCTTTTTAGTCTCTCAATTGCTTTCATATATTGTATCAAGAAACATCGAACGATAATTTCCTATGGGTCGAATTTTTTGGAACATTTCATAAATTGATCTGTTATAACACAAATTTGGCTTTATCTTAAAAGAAGCTTTTAGTGTTATTTCGTTATGTGTGATCTTTGGCATAATATAGTTCAATAAATGAAAAGTATTTCGTATCAAAAAAGAATTTCAGACATAAACCATTATGAGAACAGCAGAAACATGAATTTTATCAAAATACTTTTCGATCACCGGTTACTATAAGAAATTCTGATTGAAAAATAAAAGCATTAACTGAAACTTATATCTTTTTTGTATCATTTCTCATAATCACCAAGCTTCAAGATTTAAAATTTTTTTTCTTTGAGAATTTCTACATTTGTTCAGATATTCAAACAAAAGATAATTAGAGAATTCTATGCCAACTTTTTATATATATATATAATTGAGTGCATATATTATTTTCATTATTTCAAGTATTGTTTTATTTGTGATTGATTTCAACATATATCTCGAATATAGTTTTTCTTCCATGAATAAAAATAGAAGAAAAAAAGAATCCTATTAAAATATAGACATTATTATAATTATAATAAAAAATTCTTCTCGCTCTGAGTTTCAATTTCTAATGTAAATCTTTACTAGAATAATGAATGTTCTATTGATCAACTTTACGTTACAGACTTCTCTATAAGACAGTACTCAATTGATCACCTTTTGCTTGAAAACAACTAATTTATTTGTTTTATTTTTGGGTGTGATTTCTCATCTAATCAAAAACAGAAATACTTCAAAGAATGAAATACAAATAAAAAAAATATAATCAAGAAAAAAAGGTAACGACTAAGATGAATGTAAATAGTTGCTTTGTTGTTTTCTTATATTATATTCAATAGAACATATGAATAAGGTATTGCACTCGATTTTATCATAAAACGCAATAAAACCTTAACATTTCATTATTTGAATAAAAAATGAAAGACAAATTTTCTAATGATGAAAGAAAGAACAATTTTTTGTCATCCACATAAAGTTTGATAAGAAAAAAAAACATACAATGAAAGTGCCAAAAGTCTTAAAACATTCTCGTCGAGTTCATATTATACGTGTTAGTAAACCTGAAGTACGTCGAACTCCATTAGATGAACGTGTTGATACTCGAATTCTATCCGTCAGTATATCAATACATCAAAAATAAAATTACAAATAAAATAATCTATTTAATAAAAATATCTTAATTTTTTAGTCAGTTGATAGTTGGTTGAGCAGTATACCAAGTGCAAAAGAACAAAAAGTTAAAGAAATACCAAAAAACGTTATTAATCAACCGTTACCTACTAAAAATAATCAACCGTTACCTACTAAAAATAACCAACCGTTACCCAGTAAAAATAATCAACCGTTACCCACTAATAATAATCAACCGTTAGCTACTAAAAATGACCAACCGTAAGTTATATATCAAAATTTAAAGAAAAAAAAAACTGTGTACATATAATATCATTAAATATTGCTTCATTTTTAAGATTATTTTATTTATTTTATAGAAAAGACTCATTTCCTCGAGTATGGGTAATAGTTGGTATAACTATTTTTGGATTTGTGTTAGTAGGTTCAATAGTTGGTATTATTTTAGGTATTATTCTTCGTTAGTAATCATGCATATTAATTGATTTATTTAATTAAAATTTTTCTGCAAAAAACGAGCAAATGACAATGGGTGATATAAGCACGATTAGATTAATTGCATTGATATTCAATTTATAAATAATATTAATTTTCTTTGTTTATCTTTTAAAGATTTATGCCTGTTTAATAAATATATATATATGTCATCATATCATGTAATTTACAGATCGAAAAAAGAAAACTTAACTTTTTTTAATAATGAAAATATTGATTCATTTCTTGTTTTCAATTTTTGAAACATTCGTATAATGTCTGGCATTTATGGTAGCAACACTCCTTATAATGAAATATGCATCGAATTTTTTTATACTTATTATTGAGATAAAGAAGAAAAATACGCTTGTCTTTTGGCTAACCTCCTTTCAGAATAAAAGATTATGGGTTTTTTAAAATCATTGTTCAGAAATCCAACGAACTAGCGGAGCTTTAGCATCTAAAAACCTAGATTTTGAGTAAAAAAAAAGTGTTTTTTTGCTAGTGAAAAATCTGTTTTCTCGGTCCTTAGTTGTTAACTACACCTATTTGAATATCAGAGAAATTTTTCAAAAACTCTTGATTTTTCAGGTAGATGTTAGCAAAACTCATCTACAGTGAAAAACCACCTTGAGACGAGTGATGTGTGATCTCATCATAGAAGGCAACAGCTTTTTATTCTGAGAGAGAAAGGTTGGTTACTTTGTGGTATAGAGTGCTGCCCAGCAACAGATTCAATAGTCCGATATGTTCCTTACAACTAATACGAACTGTATCTCTAGATAGAGTTCTTGTGCTCACCGCTCACGTTGACTAACCATATACTAGCCATGAGGATAGATGTATATCACAACTGAGCCAGCATGCTATCGAACGGGTGATTTGAAACAAATAACCATTAGTGAATTTGTCCAATGTCATTCTATAGTTGGTGATACCGATGTTTGAATATAGCACTTATTGAATACACACTAAACAATGTAGTGAGTCAGGTATGATGATCATCGAGATGAAAACGGAAAGAGGAAGTATTTGTTCAATTATTCTAGTTGACTAAATATAATTCATATTTTCATCTATACTAATTAGCTATTATCGCCAATATATAATGATTGAAACAATTTTAGTTTTAACAGATTTTTCTATATAAAACAGTTTCATATTTATTGTGAAAGTTATTTTTTTCATTTATCTTATCAAACATTATTGTAATGTATGAAATCATTTTTCTTATTGAATTATTTATGACATTTTTTTTTCTAATCATTAGAAAATTAATCCTATATCATCTCACATTTATGCTAGTAAATAAAATAACAGTAATTTTTATGTATTCATATTTACTGGTTTATTCATCTATAGTTAACTTTAATATATTAAACTTAGTGATTGTTATGTTGATAAAGCATAAAAAATAAAAATACCTATGAATAAGAAAAGAAATTCTGCAAATTACTTTGTATTTTTTTTTTCAATATTTCTATTCACATTTTTTATCAAAATGATTTGTAAATCATTTAATAATTCTTTATTGTATGTTTCTTTTGAAATATAATCCGATAATAAATTAGTCTGAAATAATTTGTTTACTTGAAAGTGAATTATTATTATATAATCATTCTATTGCATGCATTCATTCATTCATTCATTCATATAGATCATTTTACATTGGAATTACGACGATATACAATGTCATCATAAATTCGATTACAATTAATACTATTGTATATAATAGCACTAGCTTTTAATTTGTTCATATTTATTATAATAATGAATAAATATGATTAAAACAAGAAAAAAAAATCTAGTCACGCGTTACTCTTGAGAATATATGTATGATTTGCTTTGCTCACTAGTTCAATAGACAGACATAGATGTGAGTGCAAAAAAAAAGAACATGTTGTATATGGTTTTTTTCTTGCTTTTTATATGGTCAACAAATGGAAGTATATCGTCATTATTTCGATCATCAGGTAGATAAAATAAAAAGTTCTGTTTTTTTATTTTACATTGAGTATAATAAATAATCAATTGATTTTTGTTTAAGAATTACCTTTGACCAATAAAGATTGGATTGTTGAACAAGTAAAAATAATACCAATCGATGATGGACAATTGAAATATAGAAATAAATATAAATCATATATGGTTTATCGTCAAAATTCATATGAAAATTTAACATCATTTATTATTGATCTTAAATTAAATGAAAATTTTAATTCATATATTCCTATTGAATATGATAATAATCAAATTAAAACTAAAATAACAAATTGTTTATTCTATACAGGATCAGTAAGACATTGGGGAGAATTAAATTCAATAGTTGCTATTTCAATTTGTTCTGGTTTAGTAAGTTTACAATATTTTGATTGTTTAAATTTATTTTAAAAAAAAACTAAAAAACAAAACTTCTAGACTGGTCTAATTCATCATACTCAAAATGGAATTGATTATTTTTTAGAACCAATTATTAATGAAGATGAACAATCATATATTCTTACTTATCAACAAAAATTTCTATCAAATCAAAATCATATTTGGTCATGTGAAATGAATTCATCAAATATAAGAAATCAAACATATAAACATAATCGAATACGTCGTTCAGTTATTCGTGAACGTTTTATTGAAACTTTACTTGTTGCTGATGCAAGTGTATCGGAATATTTTTCACATTCTCATATTACTGAATTATATTTACTTACGATGATGAATATGGTTCATAGTATATATGCACATGTTAGTCTTGGTTATCCTGTTGAAATTGTTCTTACACGAATAATTATGCTTAGTAATGAAGTAGGAAGAGTGAATTTAATTTAATTTTTATTTATTTATTTTTTGTATCGTATATTCATAGTCAGATTTTCAAATGGCATCAAGATCACATGAAACATTACATAAATTTTGTGAATGGCAAGAACAAATTAAGAAAACTAATAAGAAAAATCAAACTATTCATCATGATGTTGGTGTTTTTCTTACAAGGTAATATTAAAATTCAATCTATTCTTTGCATATTTTCTAACAATATAATAATCATAATCAATAAATTTAATGATAAATATATATATATATATACATATTTAGTTTTTTCTTTTGTTTATTAAACATTTTAGAAAATCATTATGTCATCAAAATTCAAGTTGTTCAACAATTGGTCTTGCTAATATGGCTGGCATGTGTGTGGTTAATCGAAGTTGTAATATCAATCAAGATGTTGGTCTTATTTCAGCTTTTACTATTGCACATGAAATAGGACATAAGTAAGACTTTGTTTTTTTTTCAATATATATATATATATATATATTTGAATATTTTATTTAGTCTTGGAATGAGTCATGATGGTGATAAAGGTCATTGTATATCAAATTCTGGATTATCAAATAGTGATACAATAATGGTACCAAGTTATGCTAAAGTACCGATAAATATGTGGTCACAATGTAGTCGAGATAATCTAACGGATTTTTTTGAGTAAATTTAAAGACAACGAAAAAAAAAGAGAGAATATATTTTTAATTAAATTCTTTATGATATAATTTAGTCAAGGTTGGGCAAAATGTCTTAATAATAAACCAACAATAATTCAATCATTTGATGATATATTACCTGGTGTTATATATGATCTTGATGAACAATGTCGTCTTGATATGGGACCTCATTCAACTTATTGTTTTCTTGGTGATGAACCACCTATAGTATGAAAATTTATATTCGATTTTTCTTAAGAATATTTTTGTTTTAATTAAATAAGGATGTATGTAATCAAAAGATGTGTACAAAAATGCATGAAGGTCGATCTATATGTATACCATCCATGGCAAATCAACCAGTTGATGGAACTTTATGTGGTCAAAATAAAGTAAAACAGTTATTTAACCTTTTATACTCTGGCACTGACCTAATAAAGTTGATGTAGAATCACCCGTGGGAATAACTTGTGACATTGATAGGATTAAATTTGGATGCAGTTATTTTGCTGTAAAAAAGTGTGAGTGTAAGTTTTAAGTCGAAGTTTGACGACTTCCCCTCCCCATTATAGACCTTAGCTATTGAGTACAATAGGCATCAGACTCTTTTCCTCGAGTTCCTCAGCGATGAAAAAAGACACTGAACGGTATTAACGACATAATTGCGACTGTTTTAGAACATTCCAAAGTTTTCGATGAAATTTATATGACTGGTATACATTTGTAAATGTTCTAAATAGTTCAATTTCTAACTCGAAATATATAATAGTGCGTTGAGATCTGTTGTGAATATAATGGACATGTACAACAGGCTTATTTGCCAGTTAAATCAACGCTTAAAATAATAATAATGTTAGATTAAGAAAAATGGGAAAATAGCAAGTGAATAGTAACAAGACAACCGAAAAAAGAAAAAGTTCTGTTTGACATGTAAAAATAAATAAGACAGATGAATTACCATTGGAAAACAACAATAGTCTGCGAGAGATTTTTCACCTTAAGTATTTTATATTAATATAATGATGCTAAATTAAACATGTGAATTCCACATTTTAGTCTCGAAGAGGTTATGCTAACAAGCTTTTTTTCCCTGTTCTGTTTCCCATGTGAATTGGAAATGGGAACAATATTGAAAAATAGACATTCTCGAAAATTGTTTTTGTTTTATATAAATACTCTCTAAACTTTACGCTTTCAAAGAAAAAAGATGTTGAAGCTTTCTCTTTTCAATTGATGAAGGAAAGAATTCTCTTAACTTAACGTTGATAAATGTCGACGTAGAAAATAATAATTGATTGATTTTACTAAAATGTACCACCAATGATAATTTTATTTTTAATTTAAGATTATCACACGTTGCAGAAGGTATGATGTTGACAGAAGCTAGTGCCTGGTAATGATAGTTTTTCTCAAACACGAAAAATTAAATCGTAATAAGAATTCTGAAAGCATTATGAAAACGCGAGTCTAGAAAAATTGTTCCCACAGAACACTACTTAAATGATATAAAAATTGCATTTATTGTCAATTTAATTTTTTCGTAGTTATACTATTGTTATTTTATCTGTATAAAGCTAGAAACCTACTTATCATGAATTATTTTTTTCGGAAAATGAGTCATTTCGGACGATGATATATGGTGAGATACATGCAAAGGTGTCTATTTTCGGATTGAAATTGAATCTTTCATTTCTAGAATCGTGTTAGTATCGCCAGTCTTTATTTTCTTTTTTTAAATATGAAATCATTGGTTTTGATTCCAATACGAAATCGCTCATTCTTGTTGTTAAAGTCTGACCAACATAGAAGATCATAGCAAAAACTTCAGGTTTTTATCTTTTGTCGATAAGAAATTATTTAAAAACTGCTGTGGAATGTTTTTTTGATTGGCTATTCGTTGTAATAAAGTTTTTAGCACAAAGATCATGTTATTTATGAGTTTATATCGAAAATAGAATAATTCTAGAAAAATCGTTTTTCATATTATTTATTACGAATAGGTGAAAAAATGACCCAGATTGTCATAAAAAATGCTGCTTTCACATCTGTAACCAAGAAATTATTAAAAACTACTCTACAATAGCTTATATTCGTTGTAGAGTATATATCAACATCACAAACATTAGAATAATCAGTATGTGTAACTCAATAAAAAGGAAAAAAAACTGTTTTTCAACTCATAAATCTTAGGCAAGGAATGCTAAAAAGAAATTTAATGTTTTTTACGGATTTGTAATTTATTAAAGGTCATCACATAGGTAGTTTTTATGAATGAGTGAAAAATGACTCAATAGGAGTGTGTGGAACACGAAAGAGAATTTTTAAATTATTAAAATTAATTTAGTGGTGTTTACATGGTCGATGTACTCCAATGAATTATCGAGCAGAAACTCCACCAATAAATGGCGGTTGGAGTCCATGGACACCTTGGAGTTCATGTTCACATACATGTGGATTAGGTGTTGAATATCAACAAAGAACATGTACAAATCCAAAGTAGAAACTTATGAAAAATATAAGAAATAAATAAATTTTTTTCTTTTTTTTTTTTGTCTTTCTAATTATTTAGACCAGATTTCAATGGTAAACATTGTTTAGGTGTACGCAAACGATATCGTACTTGTACAATTGCGGTAAAATAATTTTTTGTTTTCACCGCCTAATATAAAAAGAAATATGTATCTTTAAAATAGTCTTGTAAAAAATCGAATATTAATTATAAACATGAATCTCATTTAAATTGTGAAGAATTAAATTCAAAATCAAATGGTACAAAATGGAAAACTGTACCATGGTTTACTTCAGTACCTTGTATGGTTTTTTGTACTCCAATTATATTATCATTATCATTAGATAATGATACAATAATAAATTCAAATATAACATTAACTGATGATGAAGTTGGAAAAGTTGAATCAATTAAATTTCGTGATGGTACACAATGTACAATTGATGATGATAATGATAATGAAAATTTTATAAAATATAATGGTATATGTATTGCTGGACAATGTCAAGTAAGTTTCTATTAATTAAATATAATATAGATAATAAAAATAAAAATTAAACTATAGAAATTAGGATGTGATAATCAATTATATTCAACAGCTATTGAAGATGAATGTGGTATATGTAATGGAAATCGAAGTTATTGTCAACAAATAACAAAAACATTTCAATATAAAAAAAATGAAACAACACCAGATGGTTCATATGTTAAAATAGGTAGTATATCAAAAGGTATTGCTACATTTCAAATTGAAAAACCAACTCAATCAATTAGTTTTTTAGCTATTCAAATAAAAGGTTTGTTTGTTTTTATATATGATTTTTTTTTTCTATTTGATTTTTATTTTATAGATCGATTTTATTTAAATGGAAATCGTTCTATAACTGAACAGAATAGTTTTCAAATAGGTCAAACTCGAATGTGGTATAAACGTGGAAAAAAACAAGAAATTCTTGAAGGTCGTGGACATCCATTAAATGAACAAATTGATATTATGTTACTTATTTTAAATAATGATTTAATTAAAGTTAAATGTATCTATTGGGAAATAATTAATAATACAATAATAAATAAAACAAAACTTTTCAATAATTATTATAAATGGACATTCGAAAATCAAACAAATGATGATTGTTCATGTACTAGTCGACAACCTTATTGTACTTTTAAATCACATCAAAATGAAATAATTGTTGTTTCTGATCAATTATGTGATTCTAAATCAAAACCTCATCCATTGAAATGTCAAAATGCTAATTGTCCAATACAAGTTCCTTCAGCTCCTCGTTGGCAAGTTGGTCCATGGCGATCATGTGAAGGTCGTTGTTGGCCACAAGAAGCTATACAACGACGAAGTCTTCTTTGTGTACGAACAATATCGAATAATAGAACACATACAATACCTACAAGTATATGTACACATAGACTTCCATCCATACCTATTACAATAAGAGAATGTCCTCAAAATATGTCATTAACAATACCAAAATGTAGTAAGATGAAAACATATAGTCAATGGAGTACAAGTGAATGGATTGGAGTAAGTATAAATTTTGATTCTTCCGAACAATTTGTGATATGAAAAAAAAAGCAAAATTTCTATAGAATTGTTCTTCATCAAATCCATGTGCCATGCAATATCGAACTGTAACATGTGTTTCACATGATCCAAATGCAATCTGTACTGCTGATGAAAATTTAAAACCAATTGATCGACGACCATGCAATGCTTCATGTGGTCATTGGCTTGTTTCTCATTGGTCAGATAACGTAAGCTTCTTTAGAAACAGATGAAATTAGCATCATCGAAGTTATATTATTAGTACCCCCTTCCCGCACAAAATAGAAGTCCAACCTCAAGATTATGATTTTCCAAATGTAATAGAAACTCACCCCATTAGAACAAGCACAAAATAGCAATGTAGTTTATTGCGTTTTGCTGTTTAATTGTAACTTCTTTGGTGCATCCGATTTCATTTATTCTACATGTTTCCTATTAACGAACAAACGAGTTTCTTTCGTGAACTGAAAGATATGTCTGCATGGACATTTTAATGAGAGAGACAACTATTTAGAAACAGACGCATCGGAAAAAAGTATGCTTTATTACCATTCTATTATGGGATTATATACAGACTAGTAATGGAATGATGTAAATTTTTATTAAGTTAAAAGAAATATGAACAAATCTTAAACTGAAAAATGCAACATCTCATAAAGCTGATTGATAGTCGGTTGAAACTGTGCAAGAGTTTATCGAACTCCAAAAACAAGTGTTAGTATGAGATAAGTAAGATATTCATTATTGAAACATTCATAAGATCTCAACTACTTCTATGTCATAACAAGGAAAATCAATCATTTGATCATAAAGGATTTACTTTATACTTCTTTCAAAATAATTGAAACATATCTTCTGGTATTTCTGAACTGCACATAAACTTCTGAAACGACGTCGCCTGGCAGAGTCATATAGGAATTTTTTCTGAATTCCTTCAAAGCTCGGTAGTTTCTCAAACCAAAGTATCGTACTAAGCGCAGTTTAACGTATCTATATTAAGGTTAATGATATTTTGATGATAGATGAATGCATCCCTCAGATTATCTGATAACATGACACTGAGAACAATTAGAATTCAATTTTTGGCTCGTCGGTAACTATCAAAATTCTCAGACAGTTTGAAAACTGCAATTTATCGAATCTCGTGCACTTTTGTGCTTGTAAGCGAATCAAATCATAGTTACAACATAAAAAATGTTAATCACAATAAAATGAAAAAGAATTTCTATTTATCATTAAATAATCGCTTATTATTTTCAAAAGGTCTAATTAAATCGAAATAAAATATTTATCTATCTCTTATTGACATACGAAATTATCTATGTAGATCAATGATATTCTAGGATAATAAAGCAAATAATCATTGCTAATTCAAAAGTAAAAACTATTTATAAATTATTTTCTTTTTTTTCCTGTATAACTACTCCAATATTTTCTCACAAGAATAAAACTAATACTAAACCATTCTCTGTATTTCTTTTAATAAAATTTACTATTTATTTATCTATTCTAAAGTGTACTGGATCATGTAACAATTCCACATTGACACGACGAGTATGGTGTAGTTCATCAATATGTAATCAACGTGAACGACCATCATCAACACGTCGTTGTATTCTATTACACTGTACTAATGGTTCAATTTATAAAACAAAACTAAGCACAACATCAATTCGACCAACAATAAGTTCTAGTGTGAAAAGTGCTAAAGTTCAATTGACTACTACAGTTCTACCTATTCGTACTTCAAAAATTATTAATACAAGTCATAAAAAATCTTTAACAACAAAACTACTAACAACTACTACTCATTTGCCAAAGACAAGTTCAACAATAAAATCATCTACAACATCTACTCGTATTAAATCGATAACTACAACAACAAAAGCTACTACGCGAATAGTATTATCAACAAAAAAAATGACTACTACTACTAAGAAGAAAAATATTATAAAAAAACCATAGAAATCAAAAATTTGACAAGATGAAACAAGTCATTGATTGAATTAATAAAAAAATAATATGTCTATTTTAATGTGTAGATTGTCAACTTCATTTATTATCTAATAAACTATACATTTTTTTTTTGATTCAATAAAAAAATCTTTAAACAATTTGAATAAAATAAAATAATTCGATCAAATCAATCTGCTGGACATTAGCTGTATACACTGGTTTCAAAACATATGGTTTGCTAATAGTATTAAAATTACATCAACTTTTCATCAAGTAGAGCAAATGTGTAAAAAAAATGTATATGTTAAAAATGACATTCTAATATTTAAATTAATAGAATCGCAAACTAAATTATGAGTACTATTCTCCATTATTCATTAAAATCTAATAATGATATAAAACTTATAATTTATTTCAATACTAGAAAATGGTTCAATAGAGTTCGACAAGCTCTACAAGAATATGAATATTAAAACAAAACTTTTAATCATATTTCCAATACAAAAGAAAAGGTTGAGAAAATCAAACTGACTAATAAAAATCGCGCATAAGTTGCACGAGAGAGTATGCTTAGCTTTCAATAACATTAGTCGATCGACCGAGTGTAAATCAACTAAAGTTATTAAAAGTTTAGCTTACTCTGTCTAATGTTGGATACATGAGATTTTTATTAATCTTTCTGATTTTCTCCGTATTGTATGGGAAAAAAGATCAGAAGTTGTATGAGATTCATTCTCTTATAGAGTTTCGCCATGTAAAAATCTCTAGAAAATAATATTCTGTTTTCAGACGTTACAAGCATATTTTGTTTTTGCAAAAAAATGGAAGATGTAAAATGTTTAGTTACGATCAATAAAGCAACCATAACTTTTCATAATCACGATATAATTCGACATATTTTCTTTTCAGATGATAGCTTTAATCTTTCTCTAAAAAACTGTGTATTTCAGTTAACTATCTATATATGTATTCATATAGATAAGGTTAATTTCAGGCAGAGGTCGAAACTTTTAGGTTATTCTTTAGTTTTAAACAATTTCTTCCTATCTCATCTTGGAAGATAGTACATTATTTTAATTCTCACTTAAGAAATTTCAAGATTTTTTATCTAGAAGATATTCAAGATGATTCGACATGAAACTCATATACTATTAGACAGTATATAATCGTATATCGACAGATACAGAATAAGTATGACTTTTTTTTATACTAATAATCAATCTTTAATAAAAGTTAATGTTAATAAATTTAATTATCATAACAGCTTAAAATCAGTAAGTTGACCTGAAACGGTTATATTCATTTAGAGAATATAGACCTATTTTATAATTCACTTTCAGAAGCCAATGTTAGTTAAAGGAGGTTGAATTTCAGCTACAAATGACTAAATCAAAATGATATTCTTTGTATTCGATAATAAGTAAAAACTTTTCCGTGCATGACAACAAACAAGATGAATCAATTATCTGTTGAATTTTATACTGTATAAAAAAAGAAAAACAGCGTGAACTGTAATTTATAATTAAGTTAAGAAATATTTCTCGAAAAAGTTCATATTCAAAACTAAGCAAAACACGTCACACTTTTTCAAGCATTAGTTATCCATCTAATATAGCAACACTGCAGTAAAAATTTTTAACACTCGATATGATCCATATTTACTGATTAAATAAATAGAGATTGAAAAATACTAATAAAATAAGATGGCATTCGAGTTTCACTTAGCTTCAAAATACAATCCGAAGCTTCCAATATCGATTGATGAATAAATCGATATTTTCTAAAAAGCGAATAATTGTTTGAACGATTGAATATGAGACACTTTTTGCCACAAGATAATCACGCTATACTAGAATCAAAGCTTCTTTTTTGTCACTCTAAATTGGAAAAGTTATATGCTTCGACCAATCAGATGATCGAAGTCAGAAAGGAACTGTGAAGTAACTATTATGAAATTAATTACTAAGAGAATTCTGTTAACGGATATAAACATGAGTTTAAGGAATAATTTAAATTGAGCGCTTGATTTTATCTCTGACTCACTATCGATCATCAGATGTATTCACAACTATCTTAGCTATAAACGAAGAGAGTGGCGACTAACTTTTGTTGCTGTCTTCGTTTTAATAAAAACCCAAAATCTATAAAAATTTGCCTTTTTTGAATGATCTTCTATAAGAAAATGTAACGTCATATTAAAGTTGACATACACCAATTCCTAGATCATAATGTCAATGATGACATTGTTTTTTCTTATTAAGAACGTTGTTCCTGTGGATTGTTTATATCAATCATGATCAGTTTCTTTTTGCTCTATTAGAAACCGTAGTCGAAATACATGAAATAAAAAACAAACATTTAGGAATTGAGCAAAAATTTGCAATTTTCAGTTTTTTTCGGTCAATTACAACAGATTTCTGAGACCTGTATTGTACATTAGACAAAATCTAAGAATAGATTTGGACAGAGCATTCAAAATTGAACATAACTGACATCAAGAATCGCTAGGAGTCCGGTATTTCTCAATACTAAGAATATTCTAAACTTCGATTAGAAATTTGAAGAATTGGTTTATCCTTACTTACTAAAACACACGCCCAGTATTGAGAATTATAAGCAAAACACATTTACTCAAAAACACTTGGTCTCACATATCTCTACTGGAGAACGTACACTGATTAATTATTGGAAAGCTTTAAAAATTAAACAGAAGGCATGAAAATCTGATAATAGTACTTGTTTCTTCATTTTTTTTTCTCTTTGGATTAAAGATTTTCTCTTATAGGTATTATAAATTGGAGTTAACTATTAAACAAATAAATTATTGAAATATTCTGAATTGAATGAAGATAATTGTTTGGGGCATGTCATCATCGTTTAAATCGAAAAGACATTTTTATATTGGTAAATTAAACTAGAACAAAAAAAGTTCTCATCTCATAGCTGTTATTAATATTTTATTTTCTGATAAAGAAAACTTACAATTTCTCTTTTCTTTCTCAAAAAACAAATTTTCTTTGTGAATGTTAATTATTACTTGAGAAGAAAAACAAAAACTAATATTAGCAATCAAACAGGAATTGCTAAAGAACCTAATATAAAAATGATGCTGACACCAATCAAGTTCTTAATAAGTTTTTTTGAATTTTCTTTCATTTTTAACGGATAATAGAAAACAATCAATGTATTGTTTGACATCACCCTGGTAAACAATTTTTTTTTCATAGGACATAAAATCATCGCAAGTTACTTCCGTACTTGAATAATTTAACAATCGATCATTTTATTCTCATAATTTATATATAAAACCGATCACATTCAAAACAGCAGTATTGTGCTTAGTTACTACGGAAATTACTCAAGTATCTGCTTGTGAAGTTGATATTAACACATATAAAGTAGAATTTCATTTTACTAAGTTAACAAAAAGAAAGTTATGGAAAATACAGCGAATAATCATGTAGTTCCAGTTAATTCGATAACAAAAGAAGCATGGAAATTAGAATCACCAAAACATCGACGTCGTTCCATCGTTAGAGAATTTGCTTTGAATACATCAACTCATGGTTTACCTGGTATGGCACGTAGTCAAAGTAAACATAATCGTATTTTTTGGACTATTTCATTTTTTATTTTTGCTGGTATTATGATTTATTTTGTAACTCAATCGATTAAAAGTTATTTTGAATATCCCACACAAACATCTGTATCGATCTCTTTTGAACGATCACAAGTATTTCCTGCAGTTACATTTTGTAATTATGTAGGAGCTCGTTATGATCGTTTAATTGAACCTTTTTTAAATTATACAAATTCAATTAATGCAACCAATACAAATGGCACAACTACATTTACTATAGAACAGACTGTTCTTCTTCGTGATTTTTTGCGAGTTCAACTAAATGCAGGTGAACCCCTGACTCAGTATCTTTTCTCTCTCGATGAAATATTAATCCAATGCTTGTATAATGACAGAAACTGTACCACTAATGATTTCATCTCATTTTTGTCGTCTACTTATGGTCAATGTTTCACATTTAATGCTAAAAAGAAAACAACAAATGAAAGCAATATTCGATATACTAATGATGATGGAGGATCAGGAAACCTTATTTTACGTCTTTATGCACAAAGTCATCTATATGTTCCATTTGTTGCACAAGGTTTATTTTCATAGCACATCTCAAAATATGTTTATTCTCTTTTTATATAAATAGATGTGTCAGCTGGAATGGTCGCTATGATTCATGACAATACACAATTACCACTGATTGATGTTGCTGGCATGGTGCTTGCACCTGGACGAAGACATAAACTAGGTTACAAGAAAAAGACTTATCAATATTTATCATTACCATATACGGACTGTACAACTAAGATACCACCTGCTATGCAAGCAATGTTTAGTGCATATGAAGGTGCCGATTATGCATATTCACAAGGTGTTTGTTATACACTTTGTATACAGGCATACATGTAAGTATCATGATCTTACAATCGAAGATCGTATACTGTGCGTTAAGGAGATTGATCATCTTTGAATCAAATAAATGTTCTCGCTACCAAACCAAGTATTTTAAAATAATTATGAGCTATTCATAGCATGCACAGAATGACATATTTAAATTTCAAGGTATTGATAGTTTATATGCCTACACTTCAAAATTTCACTGACATTTATTTTTCTTTTTTCGTCGTGACTGGATAGAACTCGGTGAGTTACATAACAAAAATAAATAATATCTCACATACTCAAAAGCAATTTAACAATAGTCAGAATTTAATGTCTATTATCCTTATATTTAAAAATAATAGTACCTTGGAGTTTTTCGTAGAATTTTTTCTTGTATTTTACTTCGATTCAGTTCACTATTGGTATCTATAGTCCTAGAGCTCAATTGTCCCTTTAGGATCGACATGGTCATAGGGAGTAAAGAATGCTAATAATGAAAAAAACGTTTTTCGTAAAATTGCTCTCGAATATATGAGATTTTATTTTTTCTTCTCATACAACTCATCAAATTGTATTCAACCATAACGAAAAAAAGAAAAATAAATGTTGGTGAAATTTTGAAGTGTAGGCACATGATATAGACTATCAATACCTTGAAATTCAAATATGTCGATCCGTGCGTGCGATAGACAGCTCATATTTTAAATGAGTTAGTTTGGCAGTGAGACTATTCATTTAATTCGAATACGATCGCTCTCCTTAACTAACAGTATACGAGCATCTATTATTATATATGTATTATTACAAATCAAATCAAATATCTTTTCCCATAGTTATCAAGAATGTGGATGCATAAATCCCGATGAATGGACAGCTCGATCGGTTGTTTTGCCTGGTACAAATACAATAATTCAAGCACCTCTTTGTAGCTCAAATAATACATGTTATTTGAATGCCACTGTTAGAATTTCAAAGACATTATCAATTTGGAATCAGTTTTGTTCGGATTGTCTTCAAGAATGTTCGACGGTTAGTTTTACTGTTACATCATCTTCAATAGCAGCACCATCTCCACCATATGCATATGCAACTAAAAACTTTGTCGAATCACTCTCTATACCATTACCAACAAACTGGTCAAGAAATTGGCTATCTGAAGTTCAAAATAATTTTGTTTCACTTGAAGTTGTATGTGAATCAACTCAAGTAGAAAGTTATATACAACAAGCATCACTTGGTCCAGTTGATCTTCTTTCAAATGTTGGTGGTCAAACAGGATTATGGATTGGAATTAGTTTCTTGTCAGTTATGGAATTTATTGAAATGGTTTATCGTATTCTTCGATATGAATTTCACATTATTCGAGAAACTATAAGAAACAGATTGCAAATTAACAATACATAATCATATAGAATGAAAATCTTCATGTTGACAATTTCTATGAACTAATTCGACATTATTCGTTCGTGATATAATGAATAAATGTTATATATCATTTTAGACATTGTTTAAAGTATTATTATGTAGAAAGAATTTGACGAATGTAATTGGTTTCTTGTTTATAATCAAAGAAGACTAAAAAGAAATGAATTTTCGAAGTGTTTAACGATAAATGCGACGTTTCATTGAAAAATAAGCTAACAATTTAAACACTTGTTCAAATTGCCATTTTAAATTTTGATACAAATTTTTTTCATAATCTTATTGATGATCATCTTTGTACAGCCATTCTTGTCGAGAATGTATAATCATTAATCAGAACTGAGAACACGCCAGACTTGGAGAACAGATTTTCTAATTTTTTAAATTTATTAAATTCTATAACTTAATATTAATGTATCAATATAGTTTCATTTATTTACTTAATATATTTCTATAAAAGTATAAGAATAACAAGTTTTGACATAAAATATCAAATCAAAACAAATGGACAAATATATCATGAATATTTTTCGTACAAGGTAGATTTAAATTATCGAAATGTTTTTGACTCATGAAGACAATGTAAGAAAAAGAAGAAGCGAGTCTTGTTTTTCTTTGAGTGCATGATACGATTGTCCTTTTTACTTCCATTAAAATAAATCAATCAGAGCCAATAGTTACTATATATTTTCTTCTCTAGGTATTCAACTCATTCGTTCTTTTTTTCTCCAATATACTGTGTATCAAAGAAATCTGATGAAATTTGGTGGGCAAAATCATCAACATGTTATGGCATCTCATATTTCAAGTATATTAAGAAGGAAATTAATATTACATCAGACAGACGAACAACTTTGACTTGATTTGGTTTGACGATTTAAAGGCGCTTACCAGTCAGCAGGTAAGACTGAAAGTTGTTTGACTAATGTGATAAGCTAATATGAACGATCGAAGAGAAAATAATCTTGAGTGTCAACAAATGTTGTTCTTTCCAAATGCATGAGAATAATTATTTTGTTCTTCACTTCAAACTAAATGTTTTTTTTTGAAATTTCTTATATTGCGAACTTTTGATGTTTGTATTATTGATGAAATTTTTTTATTGGATAATTAAACTATTTTTCATAGAATAAGAAACGTAAAATATATTCTTCTCTAAGAGATCTATTAGTTGCATTCCTAATGCAAATAGACAATACAAATAGAAAAACATCAGTGAAAATCAGTTTGCACAATGAGGACAGATCAGCTTTCTTGTAGACTTTGAGAAAAAAAAGTATAACTTTTCATAAATATTAATGCTGCAGATACTAAAATAACAAATGAACGATGGTGCTTATTCAGCTTCGATAAAAAAAAAACTTCTTTTTGCAAAGTTCAAATAGAGTTCTAACTTTAGAAAATCACAATATCTTCACATAATCGAAGACTTTTACGAATTGAACTATTTTATTAATTCTGCTATGTCACAATAGAAACTGATTTCTTTCAGAAGTCGACTAGAAATTTTTATCTATATTGCAGAAAAAAAATTGTCAATAAAATCTTATTTACATAGCTTAAAACATGAACTTCTTCTGTTAATTCTAGAAATTCAAATTTGAAATATACTTAAGTATATGAACTTTGTTTATATTTCGAATACTCAGCATTGATAATTTAAGCATAGAGTGGCAGTGAAACAGATATAGTAAATGAATAAAAGATGACTATACAGCTTTGTCTACAGAACAGGATTTATATGTAGACTTGTAGAGAAAGACTTCCTCTATCTAATGGCATATGTATTATCAGGCTCTCCTGCATACCGTTGACAGTTGACAACTCAATAGGCGGCGCCATCCATCAATCTGTCAACATCAACAGTACACAGAATAGAATTTGATAATACATACACTCTTCAATACAGAAAGTCTTCCTCTAGAAACCTACATATATTCGTTTCTCTAGTCAAAAATCATTGAAAAAGTTATAGCCGCCTTTCTTTCGCACATCATCGAATATGCATTCATACCTTCAATAGAGACAAATCAACTAAGAAAACAAACACAGATTTATCCATCAATTTTGTTTTAAGAATATTTATCTGTATTAAAGATACTTTTTTAATTAATATACAAATATAAATGATATTCTACTCTGCCTTGATGATTTACTTACCATTATTGGTATTGTTAAACCTCTTTCCTCCCTCCCCACTCAGAAATTCTAAATTTTGTTCACGCTATCGGTTGTTGAATTTCACACCTGGTTGAATAGCTCAAGATTTCTACTTTTGAATGCATCATCATTCACTGATTTTAAAATATTTTCTGAGAAACTCATTATCCAAAATAAGTTTTGGGAGCCTTAGTTGTGACGGAGTGTTTAGCTGTAGTATAGGTTACTTATATGAAGAATATGGGAGGCATACCATCGGTAAATATATACCACCATTCGTTGTGCATCTTTCAAATCAATGTTCTTATCAAACCTCATGGTGAAAGAAAACTTGATTTTTAATGTCATGATTCATTTAGCAGTTTTCTTTTCTCTCAACGAACCTTAACATATACTGTTGAGTTTTGTTTGGATTTAGAATTCGATTAATTCATACTTTTTCTATGTCCGTCTTATTCTGGTTCTGCTAGAGCAGTAATTCTATCTTCCTACTAATTGACATCTACAATAAGATTCCATCACTGCATTAAAAACTAAAACCCACAATATTTATACTAATGTCCGTTTCAAAATAAAAGGCAAGTTGCCATTTTCTGAATAACTTTCGCTGAGTAAAAGATATACATTTGCGATTTTCACCGTTCGAAAGAACGATGTCTCGACCTTTGATCTGTATAAAACTCATTGAGACGACCGATGTTTTTTTTATAGGTATTTTTGGATCAACACCTTTTTTCTCGCGTATTTTCATCAATTTTCACAATAATCTCAACTCAAATTATATCAATATGTAGCTCAAATCATCGTTTTTTCGCTATAAAATTATCACATATTTCATTATCATTCAACTTCTTATTCTAAACGAATTTACAAAGAAAATGTGATCATTTTGTAGCGAAAAAAGGGCACTATGAACTACATTTTACTATAATTTGATTTGAGATTATCGTGAAAATATGCGAAGAAAAAAGTGTTGATCCAAATGCACCTATAGAAAAAAGCATCTTTCATCTTAATGAGTTCTATACAGATCGATGGTCCGGATATCACTCTTTTAAACGGTGAAAACCACAGATTTATATCTTGTACTGAGCGAAAGTTATTCAGGAAATGGCAACCTACCTTTTATTGTAAAACGGACATTAGTATCAATACAATTATTGAGACATCTCTATATGAGATAACAGATAAATTTAATATTGAAGCAACGAATAGATTGGAAATTAAACTATAGAATTGACACAAATCTTGTCTTGAATGTCAATATGAATGTTCTACTATTACTTTTTTCACAAAGTTATCTTGACTTTTAGCACCACTCGATTGGCTTATGAATAAGATCAAAGATTTTATTCGACTAACTTCAACTCTATTGCCAGAAAACTGATCAATAACATGGCAATAAGACATTCAGCATCATGATGCATAGGAATTTATGTTACATGCAAAACAACTCTAGTTCACAATTATACACAAAAGGTATTAAGAAGTGGCATTGACAAGTTCAATAAAATATCAATAGTCAAACAAGTTTACGAATCAGAATTTGGTTCTTTTTTATCATTCATGGAATTAGTTGAAATGTTCAATCATCTTATTTGATAGATCATACGAAAAAACAAGACAACCAAAGAGTAACGAATTGAAAAAAGAATGGATCATTTTCATGTACAAGTAATTCTTCAAAATACTTTTCTTCGCAAAATAAAATTTTATATATTATATATTTAATGATTTCAATAAAGTATATCTGATATTGTATATGTTCGAATTCATAGATTGCTAAGATTATTTCACTTAGCAAGAACTTCTTTCATCTGATTCGACAGATAAAATCTGTTTTGTCTAAATGTTTTTCAATCTTAACATGAGAAATTTATAACCGAGAATTTTTCGAACTTTACAATGATTGACAACGCAAATTAGTTTACTCTCAAGAACGCTAAATCCGTATATTTTCCTTTCCCAAAAACAAAAAAAAATTATTTACATGTATAAAAAAGAAAAAAGAAAAAGTAAATATGGATATAATATCACTGTCTTAAGGTTTTTTTGACATATCAAGTGGATTCATATTTCCATGAACTTCTGGTGTATATGTAAAAAGTACGATTAATGTCCATAAATGAAGAAGTATAGCATAAAAAATAACAACAAGACGAACAGCTGGATAACGTTTTAAAAATATACCTAAACGAATACCGAGTTTATCGAGTTCGTTAGCAGCTCGTTTAACTTTTTTTGCTATATCAGGATCATAAGGTGTTTCACGTAATAAAGGTATACGAGGACGAAGTGTATCTTCATGATCATTATCATACATTCCACTGTGATCCATATCCATTGATATTGTTGTTGATGATGTTGTTGTTTGAAGACGTCTAGATGATTGTTGTAATGAATTATTTGTTGTCATTGAAGAAATTTTTTCATAATCATCTAAACGTTTTTCTAAACGTTCTAATTGCATTGTTAAAGAACTTTTATCTGTTTGTAATGTTTCAATAATTGTTTGTTTATGTATTAAAGATTCTGTTAATGTTTGTAAACGTTTTTCTAATTCATCATCATTAACATGACTTATTGTTTTAGCTGTTAATTGTAAACGAAGACGTTCTAATTCACGTTCACGTTCATTTAATTGTGTTATATGAGTTTGTTTTTGTTTATAAAATTCTTCATGCATATAAGTTAATTCTTGTTTTAATTTACGATAATCTTGTTCAGCTAATGTTAAACGTGCATGTTCATCTTTTAATTGTTCATTTAATTGATTTGTTTGTTCATATAATTGTTCATCAGCATGTTGAATCAGTAATTCA